TGTTAGCGATGCTTAAGAAGTACTGTTATGCAAACTTCATATGAGTGGGGACCTTACCTATTGTGCTTAGTACTGTCTTCCCCAAACCTAGATCAGTGCATAGTAGGTTCCTGAAAGTGCTTTGTAAATGGGCAATGAATGAAATAGAATAAAAATTAAATGGTGATGGATGGCATGCACAGGACAGGGAAGAGCAAGAAGGTCATTATTCTGAACTATTGCATATAAATGATGGCAATAGTTATCACGCATGACTAGAAAGGGAAAAATCAACACATAGATGTGGTTCATCAAATAAAATAAAGTATTTTTACCTTGTTTTTATGGAATTCATTGGAAATATATGGTATTAGAAGTTTCCATATAATGAACTGAGGGACACTGGAAGGTGACAGATTGAAGCTTTTTGTTTTTTTGGAGACAGAGAAATAGTTTCCAAAATGATAATTATATTTCATCAAAAATGACTGAGTGTGGAATATCAAAGCATAGGTAAAATTCCATTTTTTCCTGAATCAGATCATAATACTTATCCTGTTTGCTGTGCATTTTCTAAACTAACACTATGCCTGCCATATAGAATATTTGCAGTACAATTTTTGGTAAATTAATAGTTACAGGAGACAAATGGGATAATAATGAAGGTTTGGGAAACATGTGCCTACACACTGAATTTGACCTTGTGGAAATTCAGGTAGAGTGAAAGAAGAGAAGAGAAAACAATTGGAAGACAAATCCTTGGAGAAGGTCTTTTTAATTTAGGATGTAGGGTAAAGATAAGGCAGTGAAAGATAATTAGAGAGAGGAAAGGTACCAAGATGGTATAATTTTACTTGGCAGCAATGTGAAAAAAGAATTAGAAGAGAGTAAGACTAGTAACAGTGGAAAGAGAAAGAATTTCAAGAGGCAAATTTTGGTTTAATAAATTCAGAGAAGCTAAGAAAACTAGATCCCAGGAAAAGATGATTATTTTTAGTTACTGGGAGATCCTTACTAAAAGATGATAGGGAAATTTCAGTACTGAAGTCAGGGTCAAAGTATGTACAGGGTTAATGTCAGAAGTGTAGGAAAAAAGGAGAGAGGTTTTCAGTGGTTTCCATATTTACATGTCAGAATTCCTTGGTGATGCAGCTTTTACCAGTTTTTGTTCAAACTGCAAAGAAGCTATTGCCATTTCTGCTTATGAAGCAGACTGTGCTGATTCATTGAAGTGAATGTCAACTTATAAATATAAAATATGTAAAACAAAAAAAATCATGCTCAGTTCTTCTCCCTTTCTACTCAATAACTATGCGAGGCTATTTAGATTTTGTTCAGCATACACACTTTATCGTGTATGCTACATTAGCAGCACCAATGAGCAGAATGACCTAAGAGAAAAAGATGTGGGTTGGATGCACCATCAGCAGTGGCTTATATCATCTGGGCTTGTAATAAAAAGTGAAATAATCAGCAAGTTACTTACACCCAGGAGATTATCATCTGTGCTGTTTGACCTAAAGTGTCTTTTAGAAGGACTTGTCCTTTGCTGAGTTTCTCAAAGTTGATTTAAATATTTAATTACAGAAGTCAGTGAGAGCATCTTTACCTGCTCCTTTGCAATCCAGTTTGTCTCAAGACATAAACACAATTCTAATATTAATGAGGATAATCATTGAGAAACTTATAATAGTGTTTCATAGTGTAATTGAAAGGGTCATGAAACTGGAGGTGAAATTGTGTGGATTTCTGTTTCTTTGTCTGCCTCCAGAGATGACTATATGGGATGTTAGTAGTGTCTAACTCATTTTAGAAAATTGTCTTTGGAATGATTGTTTCAGAGTTTATGACACGTTATTATGGATGGTCTTTATTGTAGTAAAACTTCCTCTATTAGAGGATGGATCAAAGTTAAGGAAATGGCTTTAAATTTTGGAGGCATCATTAAGGAATAAGGTAAAAATGAAAATGAATAATTTCACTTCTAATGAAGTAGGAGTAATTCCAAAATACTGCAGCTAATATTCTTATGAAAAGTGTCAGTTGGTTAAATTGCCCATGCTAAATTGGGGGAAGGATCAATATTACAATGTGAACAGTCTTGGGTATTTGGGGATGACGTATTTGAAGCATAGGGCTAAGTTTTTCATCTTCAGATGGTTAATACAAATGAGGGAAGCAAAGTACCTTAGCTCAGGTGAGCATTTTGATGGATTTGATTGATTCCTGGTTGTAAATCTCAGTGGCATTCTTATCCTGCTTAAGGAGAGAGACAGTGACTGCCCTGAGGTACAGAGAGGGAAATGAGCACTGTTGTCTGAATGGTTGTTAACTGTATGCGTAATCAGGAGACATAGGAAAGAAATATCCAGAAAAATAAGGATATAGGCAAATAGACACTTGAGTAAGTGCCATGAAGAAATGAAGGCTAAGAGAAGAGGGTTGAGGAAACCAAAGAGAGTCAGGAGAGAAAGGCTATTGCTGTAGCTTCATTGGAGAATTAGCTGAAGTGCCCAGGGAAACAAGGGTGTCTTCTGAGTTAGGTGGATTATAATTCCTTATGAAGTTTTGTGCAGCTTGTGCCTGTAGTTGGGTCAAAGCCAGTGTTTCCAGATGGCCACAATGACCAGGAGGTCCCTTGACAACTCACTCCAGAGCCTAAAACAAATTGAAAATGGCTCCTTATTAAGATTGCCTGTGTATTCAAACAGTGGCATTCTTTATCAAGCATTCTGCTGATGCTGTGTCTGCTGTTTCCATCACAGAAGCTATTTCACTTAAGATGAGAAGAGGTCTCATTAATAAATCATATTGCGTGATATTCCTGTAGTACCTGGATGACATGCCCACACTTTGCAGGAAGCAGAATTAAATAGACCCAGAGAGAATTTTATAGCATGTCTTTCTTTCATGTGTCATTTGGAATCATCAATTTCTGAACAAATTTAAGATTTAAGATATACCTGTCAGTAGACATATGCTTATGTATAAAATAAGAAATAACTGCAGAGTTTTTCTAGATGAGATGAAAGCCATTTTTAATGTGTGTGAATAGAGGACATAGTGATCAAATACACTAAAGGTTATTGTCAACTCTGTACCCAGACAAGAACAAAAAGTATGGGCATGAATAAAAGACAGTAATCTCATCTTTGCCTTATGTTAAGGTATGAAAGAAATGTAATGAAATGCATTCAGTTTCTTTCTGAGATATTTCTGTCTGCTCTGTAGAAGATTGGTAATAAAGGATATGTCAATTTACATATTACACAGATTTTTGGCAAATAAGGGCCACTTAAAGATGCAACCTTGCTTTCCTTTCGATTCATACCATACAACAGTTACTAAACATCATGGCATATTTTTTTTTGATTGTCTATATCTGGCAATTCGAACCTGTACATATTCTAGCAATGCTCACATTCATGAAACAAATCTATTTTTTCTACAGACTATCTATTTTTGTGAAGGAAATACAATTACATAAGATAAGGTTCATTTTATTTCTCAAAAAGGATTAATTAAAAGGATGGTAGATGTTATGTTCTAGGTTGTTAGATTATGATACTGGATGACTGTTTTCCATTCCTTGGATTGAAGTGACCCCAAGATTGAGAAATATCAGCTATTTATTTATTTAAAGCCACATAGTTGACTTCATTAGTGGCTTTAAGCACTATTCTGTGGATGGTCAGTGCTCTATAGAGCATTACAGGGGATCAGTCTTGGACAAAGTACCCTTTTTTCTCAAAGAGATATTACTGGATTTATGTTTCAAAAGATCATTCTTATTATATTGTGGAGAATTGAATGGAAGGAACATAAGTGGAGGGAGGAGGACAGTTGGGTAGGTATTTCACTAGTCAGCTAAGATAAGCCAAAGCCACCTTTATTCATTAATTAAGAGTATGGATTCTAAATTCAGACTCCCTATGTTTGAATGTAGCATCTATCACCTACGCAAGTGACTTTGGTAGGTCACTTAATAATTGTTCTACGTGTCAATTTTTCTATCAGTAATTTGGAAATAATTAGAGTTTCTAACTCAAAAGTTATCACAAGAAAGAAATGAATTAACGTACCCTAGAACACGCCAGGCACAGGGCAAGCACAATGTTAAGTATATACTGTCAGTGAACCAGGATGGTTGGAAAATGGAGAAAAATAAGTGGACCTTATTTGAGTATATCCATGTGTTATAATGAGCATGACTTAGTTGTGGACGGACTTTGGGGGAAAAAGTGAAAGCAGGTAGTGTTGTATGCCATTCACTGGAAATAGAAATATTGAAAGAGGCCAAAGGATTATGGGAGTAACGGGGAGGTCCAAATACAATGTTATTATTTGTTTAAGAATTATGGTCCTTAGCCAAAATATTTTGGTAACATGTAGTGTAACATACAGGGTAAGTTAGGTCCATGGCAAAGATTAAAATGTAAAGTTCTGGACTTTATTTAATTGCTTCTCAACTGAGTGACAATATGACAGAAGTCCCTTTGTGGGAACATGTCTCTCTATGTATGATGGGAGTCTGGTATCTATCTTGTCTTAAAGAGGTTTTGGTATGCATTAGGGTTGTATGGAAGCACATTAACTTTTTGATGTAAAAGCATTGTAAATACAGTAAAGATTTTGAAAGGAATTGGATTATGTAGGGAATGAGCTGTCATGAATGTGTTTAAATCTCAGGTGACTACAGTTTGTTCTTATAGCTAATATTTTTTACTCATACATTTTTCATATTTGTTTCTAAAATATGTTAGTACTTACAGAACTTGTTAAACAATGATGTATGCATTTTCTTGTAACTAGAATTTTTTTTTATGCTTCAGTCTTTTAGATTCTAGAAATAGAATGCTAAGTTATTAAGTGCTCATCAAGTTCAATGGATCATTAAATCTATATTTCTTACACTGTTAATTTTGTATTTTATATAAAAGTGCATTAAGTTTCCAGCAAATTCATATGATTATATGCCAATTTCAGTGATTTACTCTGTCTGTTCTTTCTTATTCTTCTAGTCTGCTCCCAGTTTTCGAGAGGAGTCTATGCTATTTTTGGATTTTATGACAAGAAGTCTGTAAATACCATCACATCATTTTGTGGAACGCTCCACGTCTCCTTCATCACTCCCAGCTTCCCAACAGATGGCACGCATCCATTTGTCATTCAGATGAGACCTGACCTCAAAGGAGCACTCCTTAGCTTGATTGAATACTATCAATGGGACAAGTTTGCATACCTCTATGACAGTGACCGAGGTAAGTGGCAGTATCTCATCTCTTTGTAATTGGGCAAATTATATGCCTACACTTGACACTTCTATGGATGTTATAGAGCTACAAAGGTGTTATAAAGCTCAAGGATCCCTTGGTTTAATTTTGCAGTGATAATGACTAATGTAATTTGAAACCTGGGAAACATATTTAGAGTAAAACAACAACAGCAAAAGCTTTGTGTGCACAATTCAGAGATAGGCTGTATCAACCCGATGTCCAAATATTTAGTTGTAACATAAAAAGCAATTTTTGGCATCAGCAGCTAAGAACCTACGATACCTCTGCTACTAGTCCAGAGTGAATGAAGTGGCTTGAGTAAAATATAAGTGAAAGATACAAATAAGAATATTTATAGCAATGTATAGTTATTAAATATTGTTATATGCAAATGTTTTATCAGGCATTATTATTGCCCTTGCCTTAAAACAAGATCCTTGAATCTCAGACAATTTAAAGTTTTTCTCAAGATCAACCCACGTGTGGTACAGCTTAAACACAGGACTCTGATACCAGACCCGTGCTTTTGACACCATTCCACATAATTGTTTGTGATGGGATGATTTTGAGCAGCATGCCAGTCTTGATTCATGATATTAAAATGTGTTGGGGGGGAGGTACAACCTTTACCTCTCTTCTATCCCGTGCTGTGAAGTTTAGTATTAGCACACTTGCTTTATTTATGCCATAGAATCCCAGGTGTTCTTAACTATTCCCGGGTCCATAATTGGGTGTCAATGGGTTTGTGTACTCCCTAAATTGTATGAAACATTTTTTTTGTGTGTGTGTTCATATGAATATTTTTTTATAAAGAGTAGCTGTAAATCAAAGACAAAAGAGTGAGGGACCACTGTTGTCTGAGTACCTAAGTTCCATAGTGTGATTTCCTCAGCATCTTGCTTCCTGGAATATATATGGGTTCAAATAAAAACCTGAAGCCTGTTTCCACCAAGATAGGGCACCTTGTTAACCCACAAGGGCAGACAAGAAGAGAGCCAGCCGTCAGTCAATTCTCCATTGATCAGTTTGTAGTCATTTACTGCAGTAACCTCAAGTCAGGACTGCAGGAGCTAGGTGTCTGATTCTCTTCCCTGTCTTCCTAATCCTGGAAATGAGAACACTCAGTGGAAAAGCCAGTCAGCAGTATCCAAGCTGAAAACAATTTGCTATGTCAACAACTATTTTCCCCTGCTTTGAGAAGGGAGTGCTTGGCTATTCCCATAGGGAATTAAAAACTACAACTGAGAACCATTTACAGTAAATATAGATTTCAATGTGCTGGATGTTTCAGAAGCATAGGTATTAATGTGATAAAAGGGCTTATAAAACTGAGCTTATTAAATTAGTTTTAGATGTTTCTCTTGCTCTCTGCTAACTTCTTTAGTATTTTTGTTGTTAAAGCTAGCCTGAAATCTGGGTGTATTCTCAATATCTCTTCCATCCTTGCACGCTGCTGATGTGATTTCTACCGCCTAATTATATTTTATCTGTACACACTCTTCCTTTTCATTGCCGTTAGCCCTGGCCAAGCCACCATAATGAGTTCACACCCTCATCTCCCCAATTCCACACTTGTCATTCTTTAATCCATTTTCCACAAAGTAGCAAGAATTATTGTTAAAAAAATTTTTTTGGACTGCATTACTCTCTTGTTTAAAACACTTCAATGGCTTCTCATTATGACAAGGATAAAATTGAAAAGTTTTAGGTGGCTTTAAGGTCTTATAATATCCAATTCCCACTCAACTCTCCAATGTCTTCTGCTCTCTTGCTCGCTCATTAAAGCTAAATCCATTTGACCTTCTTTTACTTTCTCAGATGCACCAAACTCTTTCACTTCAAATCTCTGCCCATTTCACTAATCCTTAGTCCTCCTTGACAACTGGGTTCATAAATCATTTCCTCAGTGATGCCTTTTACACTGTTATCTTTCAAAGCAATCTCTTCTTTTCCTTCATAGGACTTGAGAAATTTCTAATGAATGGTGATGTTCATTCTGTCACTTAAGAACAGCCTATTGAGCCCCTGCTATATTCCAGGGACTGTCTTAGTGTCATAGGATAAGTGTGTTTTTCATGAGGGTGTGACAACAAGCTCCAGGAAGGGAGTACCCAGGCTGTGCTCAGTGTACTGGATGCTCAGCTCATGACTCTGCACCCAGTAATTCAGATAATGCTAGAAACAGAGTTGATGTTCAGCAAATCGTGTTAATAAGTAAATGAGTTAAATGTCTGTGTGCAGTATTTTAAATTCAAGATGAATTTAGAAGCTAAATTTTGCTTGCAAAATTGAAGAATTGAATGATGAATTCTCTTTGCACTTTGACAAGGTTGATGGAGGGTGGCATTTTTAGTTTAGGGATATACTTCACCTTCATCAGTACCCTCACCATTGCTCCCTCTAGTTAAAACTGAACTTTTGAGAAAATTCAAATAGACAACAGCTGATATAAGTTTAAAAAAAGGGAAACGCTAGTATTTGAGGAGAGATACTCAGAAAGATAGGCTCTGAATTAGCAGGTGAAGATGGATGGATTTATGCACTTGTGGAAAAAATCTGGAACATTTTAAAATACTTTTATTAATACTTAGAAATATTAAATTAAATTGAAGTGATGAGATAATCTCCAATTATTATATTGTACAAATTGATTTGAGTTCAAGTGCATCCATTGAGATAAGAACATCAGAGTGATAATATTAAATAATTACATATTAAAGTCAAAATGACCTTATGGATACATTTTCAAGGTGCTATCAAGTAGCTGTTGATGTTTTAATGTGAAAAGCATTACACTGGCCTTTTATCTGAAGCTATTTTCAGGGATAAATATGCCAGACTCTCATAATACTGGCAAATGACTTGACCTTTGTGTAATATTTTACTTGACTCATGGAAATGGAATTTTTGCTATCCAATTTTTTTTCTCATTGACGACTTAATTTTATGGCTTTGCCATCATATTACATTTTAACAAGCTTATTCATACATTCAGTGTGTTAACTGTTTTCCCCCCATTTGGTCCCAAAACCATTTTGCTTATGCTTCAAAGTAGGCACCTCCTTTCTTTAGTGTCACATGATTTGAATAATGCACCTGTGTTCCCTTTATCCATATTAACCAGAGTTTAGAAAATAGATCCCATGGTTTCATCTTTCTACCTCTGTCTCTACATACCTCAGTTTCAAACAATTTGGTCTGTTCTTGGTGTGGCCCTCTCTTCATCTCCTTTATTATATGTGTGTGTGTGTCTTTTAGGCTATAGTCGTCTTTACTTTTTGGAGAGTCTAGGTTAGGAATATATATTGTTAAATTTTAATGTCTAAATGTGTAAAATGACTGTTCTTTGGAATAGCATAGTGTCCAAATGTGAAAATGGTCTCCCAACATTCTGCCCTAATCATGAACTAGAAGAAAAAGACTTAACATTGTTCTATGCTGCTTAATTTCACCATCCTTAGCTAGTGAAAGCCATTCCTGCTTCCTGGCTATCTGCCCAAATGCTGAGCAATAAGTCAAAAGACTATCTCCCACTTGTAAACGATTAGGGACATGGATGCATGAATAGAAACTTCTTTATGTAGCAACATCTTTGTGTGAAATCCTCTTTGACTAACCTAAGTTTACTGGTGAGAGGAGAGCTGAAGCTGTGCCTCTGGTGCCAGGAGAGAGCTTTCAGGTTGCTGGTGTCTTCTCCTTACCCAGGATGTGGCACAGCCTGGTGCTCCTTGATGACCCTTGATGACCCTGAAAGCTGCATACGCTCAGTCCATGAAGAGTACATAAATAGAACTTCAACACATTTTTAACAATAGAGCAATGGGGTTACCTATGTTAATGCATTCAAGATTACGCAATAATTTTATTTTTGGATATATATGTTGTAAGTTTGAATCAGGATTTAATCCAAACGTGGTTTTTTTTGTTGTTGTTTGTTTATTGGTTTAATATCAACATGGTAAGATAATACATTTCTACAGACAGTAGGTAAAAACAAAGTTAGCATTTTATAGCTGTGTGTCTTGGTTTTAATTTTGAGAGATATTATTTGTCCCCTGAAGGGAAGGTACGTTGCCTGCAGTTCCAGGAAAACATCACGCATAGAACAAAAATGCTTTCAAATTATAATTTTTTTCCTCATATTCTTGAGAGAGCTGATCAAGGAAATATATGTTAATCTAATTTGGCCTAGGCATGCTGCCATGATTTAGTGATGATAAATATTAATTTCTATGCTTGAAAGAATACAGTTAATTTTAAATGGAACAAAGAAAATATTTTTAAGCAGTAAGACATGGTTTAAATAATATGTATCTTTTGGCAGCAATCATTTTTAATTTCAGCCTTTAATGTGCAAACTGAAAGACTTCACCTTGTACCAGGTGAACTTTTAAAGGGTTTGTGTATAGACGGGTGAGTGGCTGATGGCTTGTCTGTAACTCAAAGTATTATTAATACTGGGTCAAGATGAGAGTATCACTGATTGACTAATAGTAATACTTTGGGAGAATTTTAGGTAGATTGTCATTTTTGAATAGATTATACAACTACAACCAGTCAGTAACATAGGCATATGAAGAAGTAATGCAATTTAACATTATTTAATCTAGCCTGACCTCAAGTCATCTGCCCTCATTGCCCTACCAAAGTGCTGGGATTACAGGCATGAGCCACCACACTGGCGCAAGTTAGAAATTTCTTTAAATGTCTTCTTACTGATTTTATACATCATCTCTATATTCTTTTGCAAGGTGAACTGCTGAAAATTTTAGATTTAGGATTACCGCTTGATGCAATCCATTTACAAAGTGTCATTTATATTTAAACTTTCTTGTAATATATGTTAAAAGTTGAGATATAATGTTAAGAGCATCACCATCTGAAATTTTATTATGTAGTACACTTTATAACTAAATAAAACAAAATGAAATAAGCTATTTCAGAGAATAAGGGATGCTTACTGGTAATCGCTATGTAGTAACAATATGGATAGCACAGAGAGCTTATCCATGGATATAATGTCTTCAAGAAGGCGACAAGAGGGAGTTGAATCGTGACTGGATGTGGGAAAGTAGAACCTAGCAAATGGAAAATGTCTTAAAATTTATATATATATATTTTTCTCTTACTTGTGGAGAAAACTGGATAGACTTAATGGCTGTTTTCAAATACATCGATAGCTGTTGAATTGATCATAATGACCAGCTGTGCGTATTCTGTCTCTACTGATGAAGAGTTTAATTGACCTATAGTGTATGGAAATTGTAGGTGATCTGTGATGTGTTTTAAAGAATTGCCATTGAAAGTTTTAAAAAAATGACACGTGGTCTTTTTATATCATCCCTTGAGAAATTTATGTTTGTTGATATCTTTTGCCTGAAGACTGGACAGAGGAAACTAATTTCATTTTGCTGGAAAAAAATTTAACTTTTTGCAGCATATGGCCCAATCTTTCGATCTGAAATAAAAGTAAATTATTTTTAATGTTTATTATAAAATATTTTAAATAACAAATTAGAAAGAATGTTATAAAGATTCCCAAATACTCTTAATCTGGCTTTATTAAAGACTAGTATATGAGCAATTTTGCTTGATCTGTATCTCTTTGTTCCCTGCAATTATTTAGAAACAAATACCAGATATCCCGCCATCTCATATGTAAATATTTCAGCATTTATTTGGAAAAAAAATTATTCTTTTAAATATAACTGCAACAGCATTATTATACATAGACAACTAACAATTCATAAATATTATTTTTTTCCACTGTTTGTTTGAAGCAAGACAAAAATGAGTTCCATATATTGCAATTCGTTAATATGACTTTTAAGACCTTCATAATGTAATGCAGTTTCCTACAGTCTAGATTTTGATGATTGCAACACTATGGTGCTTAAAATATTTCCTTCTATATATGCCCTATAACTTGATTAGATTGAGTTAGATTTGGAAGCTTGATGAGATTCAGGTTTACATTTTTGATATGAATGCAACCAACACTGAATAGGTATATACCTATTCAACACCAAAATAGGTGGTATTGAATATTATCACTTGGAGACATACATCTCTGTTGTCTCTCTTTTTGGGTAGTTACCAGCAGTTGATGATTGTTGCCTTGATTCATTAATTCAGTAGGTGTTACAAGATGGTGACAATTTTAACTCTGTATTCATCCATCGTCCATTAGCTGGAGTATTTCCAAAAATAAAGACATTTAATTCATTATCAACCTGAAAGTGGTTCATATAGGAAATTCAGGAAAATGCTTGTTTTATTTTATTATTTATCCGTCTTCAAATTAATTAATTGGTTCCCTAGCATCCACCAAAGGCAAACACATTATTAAAATATATTATTATCTCATAGGTTTAAAACAGTTTATGTATTTATGTAGTTTGCAGTTATTATTCTAATTAATATTATTCTAATTAATATTCTAATTAATATTAGGACTATTTGAATATTGATTAGAGAAATAAATGCAAAATACTTAAATATATAAACTACTTATTTGAGTATTTTGTGTGTTTAAGTATTTAATAGTATTATTATTCTATTTTATGTATTTAAGTATTTCAAATTATCTCCTATGTGCTTTGAGGTAATGCTGATGGTTTTAGAGAGTTCCTTCACTTCTGGTGTCAAAATATGTTTTAGATTCGTCTTGTACACTTTTTGATCAATATTGAATCCACAAAATTTTTAATGGTGGTTTTTCTTTTTTAAAATATTATTCAACAAAATTGATAATAGACATTTTTTGTAGCAAAAAGATTTAAATAAAATTTGGTATCTGAATTTAGGTTGTGAAGAAATATGATCATATTAGATGAATCCTACATTTTATTAATCAAAAGGGACCAATATTCTTTTGAAAAAGATGCAGACTTTTCTCAAATCAGGAAGATGATTTGCTGAGTTCTGGATTCATTCTAGAGTCTTGATTTTATGTTGTTTATTAAGTTATCAATAAAATGTTGAATTTGGTTTTGCTGTGAATAGTTGAAGGGATGTAAAAGGCAAGTTTATGTGCCGTGTCTCCAAGTGCTAAATTGAGGATAAAACTTTTCAGACAATAAATCCTCTAGTTGTTGTACCTCTTCGTCCTAAGTATGAGGTAATATGTGGACAATTAAAAAAAATTCCAACTAATATGATGCTATAAGCAAAGTTACTAACGGAAAAATATTCATATTTAGAAAGAGAAGTAAATTTTTGCTAGAGAAGTAACTGCCACCATCTGGTTATAGGTGACCACTCCAATCCTCCAGGTTCATTCCCAGCAACAACAAAATATATATATATATATAACAGAATGCTATTGAAGAAAAAAAAAATGAACCCAAACTGTTGACTGGAAAGCAATAGGAGAAAATATAGCAGCCTCATAGAGATTATTGGCTCTTAATTTCACATAGACTTACATAGATTCCTCTCACTGAAAATCTACTCATCTTTTTCAGGATACTAATATCAAATGACAGACTGTCATGTACAACTAAACAATTTTTTTCCATTCTATAAGAATAAGATATGTTTGTGATGCCATTCACTTAAAACAAAGGTATTAACGTTAGACTTTAGTAATGTTCTAAAGAATTCAGCTGAGAGGGTTGAAAGAATAGGATATTATTTTCTACTCAACCAATGACTCCTTTGGTCTGAACAGCAGTAACATTTAGGTAATGAGTTTTTGATGTGAAGTGACATAAGAAGTTGATAAAGATCATAGCTATAGCTTTTTTCGAAGGAGTCAACATTCCTTTAGTTGCACAAATATATCTACCTTAAAAATACATTCACTGGCACTTTCGTAACACAGTTCTGAGTTATTCACGTATCTTTATCAGTCATCATTTTTCTTTGCCTTCCTAGGCTTATCAACCCTGCAAGCTGTGCTGGATTCTGCTGCTGAAAAGAAATGGCAAGTGACTGCTATCAATGTGGGAAACATTAACAATGAAAAGAAAGATGAGATGTACCGATCCCTTTTTCAAGATCTGGAGTTAAAAAAGGAACGGCGTGTAATTCTGGACTGTGAAAGGGATAAAGTAAACGACATTGTAGACCAGGTTTGCCACTTTCTGTTTTCTAATGACACCAAATATAGACTATGCATGCAGTGTCAGCACTTGCAATGTGTATTTGTGTTAGGTGCTTGAACAGCAGTTTTTGCTTTAGGCTTTATGTAGGATGCAGCAAAAATCATCAATTAAATTATCTCTGGCTTCAGTTAGCAATAGCAAATGGTCATCAATAATGCTGACACATCATATTAATCATTAAGTAAATTCAATATATGATTTCTGAATTTTATGTTTTATATGATAAATATCACCCCAAACTTTAGTATTTTGATTTGAACATTTTAAATTTACATCTGGTGAATTTTTTGGTGTTAAAGAAATAGACATACATTAAGTTAAAACAAGTTGAGTTCTAAGGGAAAAGTGAGTAACTCATGATTTTTTTTTTTTTTTTTGAGATACATAGACTATCTATTCCTCTAGAAAGAGTATATATTTATTTTTGCAAGATATATTTTTTTCTTCTATTATGGGACTTGTGTCTATATAAAAACATTGATTGGGAAATTAAAATAGGTGAGAAGGACACATTTGGGTTGTGTTTACTATTTGAGAAGTAAACTAGATGCATCCCTTTGGACTGTTTGAAAGAGTACTATGATACCAGTGATAAGGATATTTTTATCTGTGCTTAGAAACTACCTTGCTTCAGTTTGAGATCTTTCAGGATAGGGGAGCCATGCAGTATTACCCTAATAAGACAGATAAAATCCGCCATGATTTACACATAGGGTAAGTGACTAGGGATGATGGTGACACAGCGTCATCATCATGATTGACTGAATAAGGTCTCCTTTACTGGTATCTGAATCTCTTCCTAGCTGATAAATATGTATGTGTGTGAGTATGAGTGTATATGTGCATATACACATACGTACATATATATGTGCACATATATATATTTACACAGTTGACCCTACCAATATCCTACCATTGACCAGAAGCCTTGCAGATAACATACAGTCAATAAACACATATTTTGTATATGTATTATATACCCTATCCTTATAATAAAGTAAGCTAGAGAAAAGAAAATGTTACTTAGGAAATCATAAGGAAGAGAAAACAAATTTACTATTCACTAAGTGAAAGTAAATCACCATAAAAGCCTTCATCATCATCATCTTCACATTGAGTAGGCTGTAAAGGAGGAGGAAGAAGAAGGGTTGGTCATGCTGTCTCAGAGGTGGCAGTGGTGGAAGAAGATCCATGTATAAGTGGTCTCACACAATTCAAACCCATGTTGTTCAAGGGGCAACTATATACAATGTGGCTGCTAGTGCCTTAGAATACTGTAGAAGTGCAAGGAAAACACACACTAATGCATTAATGCATATACCAGTGTGTATTTTCCTTGCACTTGTACAGTATTCTAAGGCACTGGGAAAAAAACACTATTCATTAATTTGTTCAACACAAAACATTCTACAAACATAAATGTTGATGAAATCCTGATTGATACATAATAAAGACCCTAAGACATACAAAATAGTTCATTCACGGAGTGTTGAATAACTGAATAGAACTAACTTGTTATGCAGAAGAACTAAATGTTGTATGCCAGAGAGGTGAATAATTTCAGTAGAGAAGTCTTGATTCCAGTCTCAGGAGATGAAGCTAAGATTGTTTTTAACCTGAAGGCCTCTTGTTAAAATGTGAACCTCAAAAACTCATTTGAATTTCATAAGAGGTTCTCATTAAAACTGAATTTTTATCATATTCATTAGTCTTTGGTTTAAAAAATTTAAGTATTCCTGACTCATCATCATAAATGTTGGTGAAAGACTATTATAAAAATATATTTTTCCAAAAATAGAAAAGAGAGACTACAAAAGAAAATGGGAAGGTATTAGAAGTGATATTTTAAAGTAAATAAGATTATGGTTACATAAATGTCCATCATGAATATCTACTCAAAATGCAGAGTATTTTACACATATATAAATACCTTGAATGTATTAAGTGAGCATGCAATGGATGGCCTCAGCAAACATTTATTGAGGCCATCCTCTGGGCCTGAAATGAAGGATTCAAAGAAAGGTAAGAAAGAGTACTGTCTGTATACCATGAACTCATTGTTTAGAGATTTAAAAATGTACACAAATAGCAAGAAAGTATTACAAGTTAAAATGTAGCCTAGGAGCATGGAGGAGAAAGGACCTTTCTTAACAGGGGAGGGATCATTTGTGAAGGGTTCACATAAGACGTGGCATTTGGCTTTGCTTGGATTCATTCATTTATTTGTTCAGTAAATACTCCCTGAGTGTCTAATGTTTGCCAGACAGGCACTGCAGTAGATCCAAGAAAGCAATGTTAAACAAAATAGGCCAGGCACCATCAATGCAACTATTAATAATGTATTTACAGAAGTTCATATATAATTATACTAACTGAATACACTATAAATGAAAAGAATAGTATGTTATGAGAGATCATTACAGAAAGAAATAATTTAGGTTTTTTGTTTTTTGTTTTTTTTTTAAGACAGAGTCTCTCTCTGTCACCCAGGCTCACTCCAACCTCCACCTCCTGGGTTCAAGTGATTCTCCTGCCTCAGCCCCCTGAGTAGCTGGACTACAGGCATGCACCACCACACCCAGCTAATTTTTCTATTTTTGGTAGAGACAGGGTTTCATCATGTTGGTCAGGCTGGTCTCAAACTCCTGATCTCGTGATCCACCCACCTCGGCCTCCCAACGTGTTGGGATAACAGGCATGGACTATGAGTATTTTATTATCATTTGATAAAACCATGGCGGCCCAGATTTCTAGCTATTATTAGGTGGGAAAAAGATTCAGCCAACAAAAACATTTATAAATTAATGTAACTTTCCTATTGATAGTGCAATGCTAATTGTTATTATAACACAAAGGCATGGTGGTTAGTATGGCCAACACAAATTTTTATATAGATGCCAGGCTAGTGCATTTTCATATCCTTCCTTTCTTTCAAGTAAACTCAAGTAGGGGCTACTGGTATCACTTTTATACTATGTTTTTAAATATTTCTCAGCAGGAAGACATGGATGATTCAGAGAGTAGAATGTACAGTAAGCAGAGCTAACGGATGTCAGCAGGAAATAGGAGGGACATAATCAATCTGATTCAGCTGATGCTAATTCATATGTTTTTCATTCAGAAGGACATCTTTTCTTCAGAATTCTCCCTTTAACACGGAAGGTTCAGTTGCTTGGAAAAGGCAATTTAGTCATGTTATGTAAAACTGAGTCAGAAAACAATATAAGTTTTAACTTCCTTTCAAACGACTATGGCTTAATATCTAAGTGACATAGGGTAGAATCATTCCAAGGATTTTGTTCTTGCTCTTTAACTAATAGCATTGCTCTGGAGCCCCTGACTATGTTTGGGATTAGACAAAGTCAAGGTAGTTTTCTCCCAGGGGATGTAAGAATTGTTCAAGAGTTAATAAGGCAAAGGACGTGGTGGTGGAGCTTTCCAAGCAGACAAGCAGAGGAAACAGAATGTGTGAAGCCCCAAGGTGGTAAGAAGAAGCTTCTGTTGAACAAAAATCCTAAGAGGGTCAATGTGACTTAAGGGGGAGAATAGGAAAGTTGAGCCTAGGAAACTTGCAAGATCATTGGACTTTGCAAAGCAAAACCCACCAAAACTATTTAATCAGAGAAATGTTTTGGTTTGAATTTCTGTCTATAGCCTTACATTTTATGCCAGTTGCTTGGATTTTATGCCTAACATTTTATGCCTTCCATTAGTGTGATTATCTCCTTTAAAACATATATTACACTACATTTGAATGTGCATGTACCAGGACTACAGCATAGCCAATTTGTCTATTTCTATTCTCTTCGTAATTTTGTAATTGATATAGATCAAAGTCAAATTGATCAATGATGTCTAAAACCGTTGTCAGTATTATCACGATGACCACTTGTTCCATAATGTGTTTATCTTGACATTCATTTTAGGTTTAGATTTGTGGAGAAAAATTAGCTTCTCTGATACTTTGCTGTCTAGAGCTGAAATAATGTCCATTTGGACTAAATTATAAACATTTCATGGTCCTTAGGAGAGGAATGTTACTTTATAAATCCATGTAGAATTCTTTTATATGCTTTTTAATATTCTTTTAAAATGTATGTAGTACTATGAGCTCTCTGTGTATTTATTTGAATATGGACATACAAATATAAAATCTCAGATATAAACAGTTTGAGCTGTTTAACATTTTATTAAAAAGACAAAAACATAGCCTTCGAAGGAATAGAATTATGACTTGTCATAGATTAAAAATACTTTGGTTTTATACTTCTTAACATTTTGTGTTTTATTTTTTGCTCTTGACAAAAATGAGGTAATATTTTTTGTTTAGTTAATGACTTCCTGAAAGATAATCACTTCTTAAGCATTAATATGTATTATTACTTCTTATTAGAGAAATATTATCTAATTTTGATAATTACATTTTGTCAAAAATAACTTATTTTGGCACATCAAAAAATCTAGCAGATAAAATTCTACCATTTTTCCTGAATCAAATCATAATACCATTAATACATTGGCATTATTTGTATTAATTCAATAATAATTTATTTGTCCTTGTCAGGTTATTACCATTGGAAAACATGTTAAAGGGTACCACTACATCATTGCAAATCTGGTAGGTGAATTAATTGGTATATATTATTTTACTAGATATGCTTATTCATTAAATATTTAATTTTGAATGGTCAGCATTTATCAGTGGTGTTTAAAAAAATATAGTTTGATTGTAATTAGCCAGGTGTGGTGGTGGGCACCTGTAATCCCAGCTACTTGGGAGGCTGAGGCAGGAGAACCCCTTGAACCCAGAAGATGGGAGTGGCTGTGAGCTGAGATGGTGGCATTGCACTCCAGCCTGGTGACAAGAAAAAAAGTTCATCTCCAAAAAATAACAATAATAATAATACATATAGTTTGATTGATTTGATAGATTAGATATTTTTTGAAATTATGTTTTATAATTGCTTTCCACCTTATATCTTCTAATCAATTTTCTATTACTATAAAAGATATAAGAATTTATAGAACAATATTTGACAAGCTTCACAAATTTTCTTAGATGGTATATTTTAAGAACGAGAAAATTTTCAAAAATATGTAAAGTTTAATTGTCCACATATTCCCTTGTCTCTGTTTTTCACTGTCTGTTTTTTACAAACTCTGCCCTCTGCACACTTCTTTATTTTTTAGCATATATAATATCTGAAATAAATGCAAATTTGTTAAAATGTCTTAGTACAAAATTAAACCCAAGATTATCTAGAATATTGAGATATTATGTGTTATTTCTGATTTCCTACTTACTATATAAAACAACACAATGAAAATTGAATTTCTATAGTGACTATCTTTTCATTAAGAATCCTATAAAAATGAGGACCACTTAACGCTTCTTGGGATTGTGTTTTCTCTGGGCCGTGGTCACTCACATTGGCTCAGAATAAAGTTTTTACAATGAAAACAAAAGAGAGTAGTATACTGAAGCAACAGAGTAGTTAATTGTATCTCCCTCTTTTATGTGTCATAGAGGTAATTTAGAATTATCACTAGACATTTCTTTTTTCAAAATAATTTAAAGCCTTTACTGCTCCAAAGGTTGTTATTTAAATAAGTAAGATGCTATGTGATTCGGGACCACCCTCCCCCTGCAGCCTGTCTCACCGAAGAACAGGAAATAAAGGTGAGAAGAAGAGGGAGAGAGGCAGAGAACTTATTCTAAATAGCACAATAGGACTTTGAAAAGCTTTTGACATATACAAATGTAGATTTATTGCATGATTCCTTTCCTAGTGTATCAGATTGTTATATCAGGAGACATTAGTTCTAGTGGTGACAGAAAGAGATAAAACAATACAATACTTACAACCTTTCAACTGATAAATGTTGTTTTCACTAGAAGTTGGAGGAATTTAGAATATTAAATATCAAACCTGCATGCTATTGGGTTGCTCAAGACAGAATTTCTGTTTGGCGATGAAATGGGTAATACTAAAGAAATTCTCTAGTACTTTCCTTTAGAGTGTATTAAGGAGATGCCAAGGCCTCCCTAAAGAGAAGCAAGAGTTAAACTAGATGAGGCTCTGTATTCAGTCTCTCCAGAACTACATTATGTGCAGGAAACAGCCTGGAGAGTCAGTCCCCTGTGTGAATCGTGCCATTTGATGAACGACACAAGCCACATTGAAAGCTGTGATCTTTAAAAATGTACAGATGGAGAAGATTATATTGGAACATTGAGAAATAATGACAGAAGGTGGCTCATCAATTTGAGAGCTGATATCCAATGCTATGAAAAAGGAAATAGGTGTTTGAATGACCAGAGTCAAAATAAATGTTGTCATGCTTCTAGCGAGAAATCTACCTAGTATTTTATCTGAATTAAAGTTCCGTTTTTCTTTTCCTCAGTACTTGGTTTCTTTGCCATATGGAACTTCTAGCGAATCAATAAGCTCAAAAGGCTGTATAGTGTTGCAATTCCTGAGAATTTAGAGGACAGTTGGAAATTTCACTGACCTCCGAAATTAAAGAGTGCCACCCAAATTTAAAGAGCTTTCATCTTCCAAACTCTTGAGGCTGTCCTTTTTTCCTCTTTGTTCATGTTATAATGAGTTTAGGGTTATAGAAGATTTTTTTTTTAAATCCGCAGAAAATATTACTGATTAATTTCCTCATGAATTGTTGAATGCCTGACTGGGCTCCTAAAACACAGTCTGCGATTAAGTCCTTGACAACAGCATTGAAAATGGTAACTTGTACATAAAATAATGAAGAAGTGGTCATAAGGAAATCAGGTTCTCATTTCCCCATCCTTACTACCCAGACAGATTTAATTCTTTAAAAAGCCATGGTTCCATAATGCTGATGACTTTACATGTCTGTCTGCTGAAATATTAAATTTTCACAGAATGAAGACTTATCTTCTGTTTCAATTCTCTTCAAATACAGCTCCAGGAGTAGTAGTGTTCACTTTAACTTGGTGAATTGTTGCCATCTCTTTTGTTACCCTTTGCCCTCTCTGCTGTAGTTTATTATCTTTTTTCCTTCTTCCTCTATTTTGCATCTCATAAATTGAAGTTTCAGAAAAGAAAGAAGAAAACGTAGGGAAATGCAGATTCTCACTAAAGCCAGCTTGAAACCTTATTTAAAGTTTAAGTTTAAATGTCATTGTAGTAAAACAACAACCAAAAAAATGACAGTAAAAGAATAATAATAAAAAAAAAAAACCTCTCTAAGGTTTGAGAGAAAGAGAAAATAGGAAAGGAAACATTAACAGATGCAAAAAGTTAACAAAGTGTTTCAGGACACATAGCAGATAAAAGATGAATTCCTGGCATAGCAAAAAGGAGGCAGATTTTGAAAAAAAGGCCCTGTGAGGATGGGATATAGATGAGAACAAGCCTGTTCATTCTGCAGAACCCCTGTGAGATTCAGTCTTAGAAAAGCCAGAAACCATGGAAAGCAAGGTTGAGGCAAGGAGCTAAAACATCATTTTTCATGTACACATTCTCGAGTAAGTGCTTTCAGGGGTAACCTGTAAGTGAGTGAGGGAAGCAAGGGAGAGAAAGAAGAAAAGCTGATAAGAATGTGGTTTGAGGTGAGATTTGGGTTTAGTCTGATCCCATCAGGCACTTTGTTCTATAAATTGCACGGCAGTCATTCAGCTTGAGACAAGGGGTCTTTGTACCTAGATCCCAGGTTTTGCTATTGAGCAAGGGCCATTGGCCAGACAGCTTTGGTTGTCCTAGGGCAATTCTCTTGGAGAGGTTATGGATATTAGCCACTGGCCAAAGCAGGAGAAGTTCCTAGGGGATGAGCAAATCAAATACACATGTAAACTGCATCCTAGGAAACCTGAATGGTTCACTAAGATCAAGGGACATTCTTCAAAGGCCATAGGGAATAATTGGATACCCCAAGGAGTCTTTCCACACAACACAAACAACCAGGTAACTACAAGTCCTGGTTCTTAAGCACCTACTTTCTCTCTTGATAATACTTCTTAATAGAGAATGTGAATTAGAGAAAATTTTAGATTCAGAAATGTGAGGCAACTAAGTGAATGTCTCTATATGAAATTCTCAACTTCATCATCCACCATCCTCCATCCTGTCCTTAAAATTTAGCCAAGAATATGCACTTGTGTAAGAGATTTGACGATTCTGAAGAAACTGAATGGCCCAGAGAAAAGAACTTGGATCTGGACAAACAACACTGCTATCCACCCCACCTCACCATCTACCTCACAATGAAGCATGCTCGTTAATGAGCCTTGCCCATTCACATAAAAATTCCAAGAAATATTTTGGTGTCTTGCTCTTAACTAGCCCAGCATAACTTGGTTTTTGAGAAAAAGTCCTTACCATGAAGTATGCAATACAAACAGACACACAGCAGGAAACAGGAGAAAAGTTTTAAAATTGTAATTATTATCTGCTTTTAAATAAGGAGAAATATTTTATCCGTGAGAGAAGAGGATGCTATGAGAAGAAAAAGAAATGGAGAATAAGAGCTCTAGAAAATTAACTTCTTTTGTTTCCTAGAATAATAGGTTAAATGAGTTACATGATACAGTTGAGAAAAGTCTTCCAGATTATGTAAATCTTCCAGAATATGTAAAATTTACAGATTTTTATCTGTATTTTCTTTCTATTTTATATTCGTATTGTCGTAATCTGGAAGATTTACATAATCTGGAAGATTTTCTCAACTTTATAGAAAAAGTAAATGTATAAGGGACTTTGACATTGAATTTAAGTGTTATATTGTCTTAAAAATTGATGTTCTAGAAAGAGAGATCTGTGAAACCAGGGAAAGGAAAATGTTAAAGAAACATTCGGAAACATTTCCAACACTGAATCACATAAATCTGCCTATAAAATATACAGAATAATAAAAGAAAAAAGACCTACAGTTACACTATCATAATGGAATTTCAGAGATAAAGAGAATATTTAAACGTTTCTAGCAAGCGACTGGAGATGGATACAAGTGGGAAGTAGATCACATACCAAAAAATTAGAAATAACATATTTTTCAATAGAAACATGGAAAATGAAAGTCATTGGGACAGTGCTTTCAGATTATGAGTTTTTCAACACAAAATTCTATACCAAGCCAAACTACTAACCATGTATCAGGATAAAATAGTTATGTTTCAGACATGCAATGTCTCAATAAATTTGTCTCCAAAGGGTTTCAGTAAACTATCAGAGAACTCCAGCAGAGGGAAGAATTAAATCAAGAAAGAGAAATATGACCAACGAAATGGGATTTCAATCAGAAAAGTGGTGAAGGACCATGCAAGGGTAACAGCTGTAGAGTAGATGGAGAGAAGGGCCAATTTGGATTCCAGCATTAAGAAGGGGGCTATCTAGAAATTAAAAATTCAAATAGATTTTTGAATTTGAAATAGATTACCTGATATGTTTGAATATTTTATTTTTAAAAAAGCTTTACTCATGGGCATGAAGGGCTTTCATGGAAGCACTGGGAAAAATACGGATGGGCATATAGAAATCTCTAGCAGGGAAAAAATGGGACATGATTATAAACACAGGCTGAGATAATGCTCAAGAAAGAAAATGCCATCCTGGTACACTATTTGGCTTTGCTGTTAATAACGTTTAGAGTTATAAATATGTAAACAGTAAGTACTGATTAAAATGGGTGAGAAAATAAATGGTTTTGTCATGTAAGCAAGTTATATACTCACCTGGCATACACAAAAACTCAATAAAAATTTCTAAAATTGATAAGAAAGGGCAATAAAAATGTGTCATGCAGAAGAGGTAAATATGTGAAAAGCAAATATATTAAAATTGAATCTTCTGAAGAAGGTTAACTGGAACATACATGGGGAAAGCAGAGAATACATGATTTTTGTTATATAATTGTTCATACTATTTGCATTACTTGATAAAAACAAAAAAATTGTGAGCCAATAAAAAGTAATTACATTCTTTTTCAGCTAAATAATATAATAATATATATGTTTTAATATCAGTAACAAAGAAAAGATTCTCCTACATTTTGGGGTGTGGTAATTCAAAATTAATTTAGGCTATTTTCAACTTTTATGTACAATGATACAGAATAAGTATTTATGAAGTGTGAAAAAATTTATAAGCGTGATATATGGAAATTAATTTCATCTTTGAGAGAGATATACTATCCAGTTGATAAAATTCATGTCAGCAGAATATTTGAAATCAATATAAATGTCATGTAACAGTTATTTAGTAAGTGAATGAATTCATTTTAATAATACAAGAGAAATTGAGTTTTTCCAAAATTTAATATATTCTGTAAATTAGCTTCAGGTTTATTGTGAAATTGTTTAATTGTTCTCAGATAATGACTGGATATTTTGTACTTCCCACTCTCATTTTGAACGTGTTCATATCACCTGAGTGAAGAAAAAATTCAAGCAGGAGTAACTTGCTCACAAGTTTGTAGTTCTTGGAAAACTAGTTTAATGTTATTAAGTGTCTATAACCACATGGTGGTTCTGTGTTGTAGACTAAATGAGTAAATCCCAGTCCTTTTCAATGGAAGATTTTTCAGTAAAGTGGAGAACTTTTACCTAGGTACAATCGTGAGTGTTTCATGAGATGACCCACTAGTAAACATGTATTGATTAGGGACCCACTAAGATGCTAACGTGGTGTTAGGTGCTGGTGAAGAACACTGGCTGATAAATACATGGGACATTTTCTGCCGGCTTTTTGTGTCTCATATGTTCTTTGAAATATCTAAAACCACATATATAGAGTTATTTGGTAAATGTGAAGTAGCATTTTGTTCTCAAATAAAAAGTGTGATATCAATGTGTTCTGTGTTTAGGGATTTACTGATGGAGACCTATTAAAAATCCAATTTGGAGGTGCGAATGTCTCTGGATTTCAGATAGTGGACTATGATGATTCCTTGGTGTCTAAATTTATAGAAAGATGGTCAACACTGGAAGAAAAAGAATACCCTGGAGCACATACAACGACAATTAAGGTTTGCTTTAGTTTCTGCCTTTTTTCTTTTTCTTTCCTATGTGAGGAGAGAGAAGGGCCTTGGCAAATATGGAAGAAGGAGAAAATAATAAAGGGTCTAGAGGACATGGTTCAAAACCCGGCAAACGCACTGACTGCTAAACGTATTTTTCACATTTTTATGGTTTAAGTAAAGCTGTTAGACCTTTGCTGTATTACTCTTGTTTTCTACTTCCTTACACCTATGATAATTATAATAAATCATTCATTCACTTATTAATCCATTTGGCATTTTTCTTGAGTGGATTTTTTTATATTTTTTTTTTTTTTTGAGACGGAGTTTTGCTCTTGTTACCCAGGCTGGAGTGCAATGGCGCGATCTCGGCTCACTGCAACCTCCGCCTCCTGGGTTCAGGCAATTCTCCTGCCTCAACCTCCTGAGTAGCTGGGATTACAGGCACACACCACCATGCCCAGCTAATTTTTTGTATTTTTAGTAGAGACGGGGTTTCACCATGTTGACCAGGATGGTCTCGATCTCTTGACCTCGTGATCCACCCGCCTCGGCCTCCCAAAGTGCTGGGATTACAGGCTTGAGCCACCGCACCCGGACTCTTGAGTGGATTCTAAGCCAGGCACTTTTGTGGTAAATAAAGACAGGGAATAATGTCCCTGCTCACAGTTAAATGAAAGAAAGACAATAAGCATTGACAAAAGAATGACATGAAGGAAGAGACCAGCAAACTCTTAGCGACATAGAGGGGGCAGGGAATTTTTATGCTGAGATCTGAACAATAAGGGACAATTTTACCCTGACTTGCTGTTTAGAAAATTATATTTGCTAATAAATTAAAGAACAGTAGATGTCAGTTTGTTCTAATCTTCAAAAAGCCAACCCAGAGACAGTTCTTTGTTCAATCAGTAAACATATGGCCGCAAAAAGTGTGTGTGTTTGTGTGTGTGTGTGTGTGTGTTTGTGTGTGTATAACTGCTAATGAGTAGTCTGGTCTCTTGAATACTTTAAAAAGAAGATAAAAATCTCAATTTACCTTAATAATTAAAACGTAACTGTAATGCTTTATGGAATCAAACAAAAAATTCTTGAATGTTAAATATTATTTATTGCTCAGGTATGAAAGCTACACAGACTCATCTTTGTTCTCCATGAATTTGGACGCAAGGTCTTCACTTGTTTATTTGATGCATTTTATTGGATATACACATGCAGGCACGAATTTAAGTTTTAATAGTCAGTGTTTTTGTTGTTGATAGGAAGGTTTTTTTTTTTCCTTCTGTTGGTAACCTTACTGAGAGCAGAATTAAGATGAAAACTTGGCTTAGGGTAGTTTAAGGAGTGAGTGGGTTGAAAGATGAGATGATGTTCACATTCTTTGTGAAAATTAAGAGCAAAAGTTGAAAAATTGAGTAATTTTGTTTGTATATTATAAAGTGATTGTATATAAATCAGGCAGGATAGCATTATTTCAGTTGCTCTCACAATTCAGTATGGGTATACATCATAGAAACATTGTTTGATTATAGATGCATGTCTATCTATGAGATTGGTCCTAGGAAAGGATTAGAAATTTGAAATTCTCTACTTTTGGGTTTATAAGTGGATCTTTTAATTTTTAACTCAATTTTGTAAAAGCATTCCATAGGATTTTAAAGAATAACACCAAGTTAATTTTTTCAAAAAACGAGGTGACTTCCTGTTTGGTGACCTTAATTGAGATTCAGAGTTTCTACTGTTTATACCATGGAGGTACTTTCATGGAATCAAGTTTCTGAGCAGGTAGATGGACACCCAGAGCCTTAGTTGGTGTCAGTGTATGTCTTCATCTGTGCCTAGAAGAGGCCTAACTGCTGATCTCATTCTGTGGAATTGCAGGCTTCCGTCCATTCAGAGATGATGCCATGTAAGTTCCCTGATGGAGTGGATGTTATCCTCAAATGCAGCCAACATGCTCCTTTTGAATACTCTGTTAGTCATTGCATTGCCCCCTACTGCTGCCTGCTGGGAAAAAAAATTAAAGCAACATGAAATTAAGTTTTTCTCCTAGAAGTCATACCATTATTCAAGTTCATGTGTCCTGTATCAAAATGCAAGATGAATTTGCTGTATGAGAGATGTTTGGCAATGCCTTCTGTTAAAAATTTTGCCAAAACCTAGTGCCAGATTTCATTGTGTTGAGAACCTGCATTGTGACCTTTCTCGCTCCCTTCCTGCTGTAGCATTTCAATAGTGCCTCCCTTTTGGTGGCTTCTGCCAATTTTCAGAGAGATCATGATGCGCCTTCATTGAGGGGTGTTTCAAAGAACCTAGACTAATGCATTTCAAAACTTAGGCTGCAAATCACTATTTGACCCTGGGTCCAGGAGTCTCATCTGTACAATGCAGTAATGACCATTAATTCCCAGTTTGCTGTGAGGATTAAATAACACTTGCAAATGGTTAGCACAGCTTTGGAAACACAGGTGCCTATAAGGGCTAATTTGTTTTCCCACCCGTTTCCTAAAATGAGAGCATTTCAGCCAATTTCAAAAGTCTATTCCAACTTTAACATTTTATAATCCCCCCAACTCTATCCCAGAGGCATATTTTATGAGGTCCCTAAAATTACTGAAAATCTGTGGGGAGAATTTGTTTGGAGAGGCAGTTTATCCTAACACAGAAATGTGTTGTGTACCAGAAGGCCAGAAACTAAATATAAAGAAATGAAAATTTTTTTTCAGAATCCTGCCTAAAGAAGGAGACAAACACATCAATCAGCAGATACAACAGAGTGATGCATAAAAGATATGCCAGTTTCTTGGGTATGATTATGACAATGTGTGGAAGGAGATCAAGGAAGGCTTATGCCAGAGGGATGCCTGTGCAGGGCTTTGCACATGGTTGAGAAGGAAGAAAAATGTATGGGAAGTTGCTTGGGGAAGTGCAAAATCTAGAGAGACTCGAAGTAATGTAAGAGCGTGACAGATCCAGGGAACCGCACATATGTTGCCGCTGCAAAAATGTAAATATCTGGGACAAATGAGGGGGCTCATGTTATGGAAATTACAAGTGGTAAGGTTCTTCAATTGTCAACAGATGTAGAAGGTAGTAATGACAAGATAATGCTTTCATAATTATTTTTGCTTCCAGACAGAAGAAAGAAAAAAAACTATATAGGAGATTATATAGTATCCGCTAAATACAAACAAGGAACATAGTCTCAATATATTATTTGCTTACAGAAAGGAAGTAAAATATTTCTAATGAGATTATTTGCAATGAGGTTATTTCCTTTGATGTTGTCTTTTGGGTGACTGACTGAATCAGATACAGTGCCTGATAATTCATATCACATTTTACTACTCAACAATAAAAACTAGTGCTATCAGCATAAAAATATATAAAAATATAGCTCATTGCATCAAATTCTTTCCAGGGTAGGCTTTAAGAATTATAGAAGTTATATCAAATTGTGGGACTAATAAATAAATAATTATTCAAAGTTTTCATCTTCCCCTAAAGGTAAATCAGCTTCCATAGTTTTCAAATTAAAATAAATTTTATTCAATAAATACAAGTAAAATCTTAAATAAGGTTAAATATTTAACATATTTTAATAACCACCAAATATAAATTGCAATGTTTAAATTTCTTCATTCTTACATACTCTACAAAAAATAACTTAAGTCATGGCACTGAGAGTTGAGATCTGACTCTCTTTTACTAATTTGCTATTTGGGACAACATTAATTCATTTACTCACTTGACACATATTTATTGTCTACTCCACAGCAGGCACTGTTCTAGAGGTCAGAAAAAAGACAAATTCTGTTCCTTAAAGAGATTGCAGTCTTCAGACTAGAAACCAGCAATTACTTTGTAGCATTGATGAAGGTTGTCTGATTGCATCTTAAACCTATATATTCGAAACTGAGCTTTGAATTTTCCGCTACTACTTCCTCCTCAGCCTCCACAAACTGTTCCTTCAGTGGTCTTTCTTATCCCAGTTGATGGCAACTACATCTTTCAGTTATGCTTAGACAAAATCTTGGTCCTTTACTCTTCTCTGTCTCTTGTAACCTACATCCTATGTAGCAGGAAAGCCCATTAACACTGCCTCACTTCTTACCACCTTCTCTGCAGCCAACCTAAATCCAGCTACCATCATAGGATTATTGCAACAGTCTCTAAAATTGATTTCCCTCCTTTCACCCCTGCCCCTGTTATCTTCCATCCTTGTGGTCCTTTTAAAGTATAAATAGATTATGTTGTGGTTCTGTTTTAAATGCTCCAATGTCTCTCCATTTCACTTGGAGTGAAAGAGCCAGAGTCATCCTGTTTTCTTATGAGGTTCTGTCACCAAGTCCCATGGACCTACATCTCTGTGCACAGTTTCCCTGGCTCCCTCTGTTTCAGCCACACTGGTCTCCTTGCTGTTCCTCAACCACCCCAAGCACCTTCCTACTTCAGGGCCTTTGCACTGGCTGTCTCTTCTTCTTGACTGTTGTCCCCTTAAATATTTGCATGGCTAAGTCTCCTGCACTTAGATCTCTTTCCAATCCTATCTTCTCATGGAAGCCACTAGCAGGCTGTGTATTTAAAACTGAAACCTTGGCCGGGCGCGTTGGCTCATGGCTGTAAGCCCAGAACTTTAGAAGACCAAGGCAGGCCAGATCACCAGGTCAGAAGATCAAGACCATCCTGGCTAACATGGTGAAACCCTGTCTCCACTAAAAATACAAAAAGTTTTCCAGGTGTGATGGCATGTGCCTGTGGTCCTAGCTACTCCAGCGGCTGAGGCAGAAGAATCGCTTGATCCCGGAAGCAGAGGTTGCAATGAGCTGAGATCATGCCATTGCACTCCAGCCTGGGGGCAACAGAGTTAAACTCCATCTCAAAACAAGAATTAAAAAAAAAAAAACAAAAAAAACAAAACTGCTCTCTTGCCACCATTAGGGTGTGCATCAATCACCCTTTCCCTAATCCGGCATTCCCAATTATTACCTTTTAGTGTACTACTCTTATCATTCACTTATTCATTGCATTGTTAATTATCTCCTCCTACTTGAAAGTAAGTGCCATTAAAAAATACTTTCATCAAGATATCCCAAGTTCCTAGAATAAAGCCCCATACATAGTAACCATTTAATAGAGGATTCCTGAACCAACAAGTAGTAAAAAGCAAAGGTACTGTGATATCACCAAGGAGAAGTTCCTAATCCTAATTCTGATGGTAAGAAAATGTTTCTTAGAGGAACCATTATGTAATTGGAGACCTGAAGAAGTGGGAGTTAGGAGAAAGCATAAGGATTAATGATCCAGATAAAGGAACTAGGATATATAACATCTCCAGTGCAAGGAAAATATAAACATTTTCATAAGGATAGAGGTTAAACAGAAATGATTTGAAGAAATGCTGAGAAATCACATTTTAGAAATGTGCAGATCCAGAGGTTTTATGCTTTGTGACATATTAAGGATTTTTTTGTCTGATTTGAAGAGCAACAGGGAGCTACTAGAAGACAGTACTGATCATGTTTTTGATGCAGCAAGATTACTATGGCTGTGCTGGTGACAAGAGATTGCAGGGAGCGCCAGTGGAGGCAGGAAAGCTTTTTGGAAGATATCACAAACAATCAGACAAGAGACTGTTGTTGTCTGAATTGTGGTTGTGACATGGGGATGGAGGGAAATAGATGGCTTTGTTACACCTGCCATTTCTCTTAATTTCTTCATGAATGAAATAATAATTGTAAAGTAATATTCATATGTAAATTCAATCGAGAGATATTTGTGGATTACAAATAAGCCTCTCGAAGGAAATCTGTCTCATCTGTATCTTATTAATCTTAAATCTCACACAGTGGTTTGCAAAGAGTAAGCACACAATAGTTATTTGTAGGAATGAAGTATAATTAATTAGAAAATATTAAATAATTAAAGGGAAAATATGACATTATTATTGTGATGAAATATGATTTAGATTTCTGCCATAGATTTCTGCATGCATTCTTTTGTTGAGCCCTGGCAGAAATATAATGAGTTACTTTAGTTGATAAAATGTAAAGTTAACGTATTTATCTGACCTGACCCATCACTGTGCCAGGATTTACATGGAACATTAAAACAGGCATTTTATCTTCCTTAAACGTAATTTTTTTTTTTTTTTGAGACAGTCTTGCTCTGTTGCTGAGGCTGGAGTGCAGTGGCGCGATCTCAGTTCACTGCAACCTCCACCTGCCTGGTTCAAGCAATTCTCCTGTCTCAGCCTCTGAGTAGCTGGGATTACAGGCGCACACCTCCGTGCCTGGCTAATTTTTTTGTATTTTTACTAGAGACGGAGTTTCACCATATTGGTCAGGCTGGTCTCAAACTCCTGACCTCATGATTCGCCCACCTCAGCCTCCTAAAGTGCTGGAATTACAGACGTAAGCCAAAACGCCTGGCCGCAATTAATTTTTTAAAGAGAAAGAGCATAAAGATATTTCCCACTATCTCAAAAATAATTTATGAATATTTCTATTTTTAGACTGATTTTTAGTATTTTCAATGTCTCCAACACCATGTAAGGTTTAACTAGCCATTCTACCTTGTCACATAATAACCTTTGTTCAACTTGGGTATCTTCAGTCTCCTACTGGTGTTAAGGAATTCAACAATAATCCATAGCTGACATTTGTGTGGCACTTTAAATAACAGCTTTCCCAGAAGAATCTCATTTTATTCAGGAAACAAACTTTCTTAATTGCTGTCCTAGGAGAGTTACTAAGTCTGCCTGAAAATAATATAATCTTTTTCAGTTCAGTAATTAGTGTCGTGCATTAAATAGTACTCTAGTGGCCTAATAGAATTAATTCTGCTTCTTGAGTGTTTTGACTGACCACACCAAGGCTTGCAGACTCACACTCGGTATTCTGAATATTACAGCATTTTGCCCAACAGAACCTGGAAATATTTAGTTCCTTGTATTTTGTAGTTTAAAAAGTGTGTAAATGACTGAAATAAACATAAATTTGATATTGATGATTGTTTGTTTTGCAAACATTAATTCAAAAATATGTATATCACACCATTAAAAATAAAAATGTATTATTAATATTTATAATTATAATTCAGGGCATTTGAGTTCACATCTCATTTTCATATTTCTTTATCTGTAAAGGGAACAAACAAGTGTTGGTGATCTCTTAGGTTTCCCGCAAATCTCGGATACCATGCTTATATAAAGTGTTAACTTAAGCACTCAGTAAAACATACATTAACATTTCAAATTTTGGCCCAATCCCTGACATCTCAAGTGATGCGTCCATCTTTCAGAGATTGTAGTGAGTTGTAGGCAGACATCTTCGATCTCCAGGTGCCAAAATTGAATCCTAAATTGCTCTGGTCGATATATATTTTGTTTTTCATAGATCAAAAAAAATAAAGAACTTTCGCCTTGTTATCAGACTTTTAGAAAGTAGAGAGTTAAGGAGAGAGAGTTATTCAACTAACAAAATAAAAGATCTGCTTCTAAGAAGTCTTTACATATGGTTGAATCAAAACCATAGCATGCCTTTATTTGAGCATCTTTTTTCTGTCTTGGTGAATCTAATTAGTTTTATCTGAAAATCTGAATTCTTAAGTAACCTAAAGTTTCTGAATATAAAGTTCTTAATATGTAAGTTAAGATTTTCAGTCAAGATTAATAGCCAATTTGGGTAATTTAGGCAAAAATATGTTGTTTTTAATATATTCCTTTTACGTGAAGACTCTTTCTTCACAGTAGATTAAAATTATTTTATTATTCATGGTGAATAATAAAAGATGTTAATTTAGATTTCTTGCCAATACAGCTCTCTTTTCACCCTTGGAAAATGTGATAGAGCTTGTGTGATTACTAAGGTTTTTATGAGGATTTTTATGCCTTATGCAGTGAAGTTTCAAAGGGCACATATTCAATATGCTTTACAGTAAATTAAAGATGACCTTATCACCGACAGCTCTTTTCCACAGGGTAGACTGTAGTTGAATTTGAAATTAAGATAAGTGAATAATTTTAAGTTTATAATATATTTCCTCATACTGTTCATTTGTCTTATGGTCCTATTTAGTTTGGTCACTGTTGGCAATCTTAAAAAAAAAAAAAAAAAGAAAAAAAACTTTCTTAAAAACTTTCTTACAGGTTTACCTACTTTTCCTAGAAATCATCATTTTTGAACCTGTTTTTAATTATTTTGTAAAAGAATGAAACTGAGAATTAATATTACGTGATTCTCTAGAGGAATATCATTCAATGTGTAATAATTTTTTTAACTAAATAATCGAGGCTGTTTTAGAAACGAGTATGTAAAATATACCAGGCGATAAAGCTTTAACATCCTGAAGTATGTTACATAAAACACTATTCTTATGGAAAATAATTGGTGTTAAATTTCAAAATTGGTAATTCGTTTGGGACATACTAATTAAACAGTTACGCTGTTATTGAGCGATTTCTGAGGGTCTATAATATGTCAATGTGAAAATCATTTTCTGAACTTATTAGATCACAGAACCCTGTTTGTGTGGAGTGGGATAGTGGTTTTCAAAACATTGTAAAAACACACTAGTTTTGCATCAAGACAGACAGTAGCAAAAGAAGGAGAGAATGCACACCTATTGGTCAATAACTTATATGTATAACTGTGTGTGTGTGTGTGTGCGTGCGTGTGTGTGTGTGTGTGTGTGCCTTTTGTAACCCATTTCGACTTACTTCTGTCTGTAGGGGTGAGGCAAACTCACTTGGGAGCCCAATTAGCATTCCATGTTGGGGAGTGTGTGTGTGCGTGTGTGTGTGTGTGTGTGTGTGAGAGAGAGAGAGAGAGAGAAAGAAAGAGAGGGAAAGGGAGGGAGAAAAAAGGGAGAGAAAAAGCTCAGATACAGAAAAAACAGAGATGGAGAGAGAGATTCAGAGAGAAGCAGAGAGTTGGGAGTAGAGAGAGGGACAGATAAAAGGGTTTCAGAGCTGGTGCAGACAGCTGCCTTTTAGTTGGGTTAAGTGCACAAAAATGGAAAATGAGATAGTGCAGAATGTCAGCCCCATCTACATGTGTGAAATAATGACAAAATAAGCATCTATATGGTCATTAGTGTATTCCTAATGGGCCAGGAGTGAATCCTGGGAAGGAGTTGGAATTGGGTGGGATTAGACTGGGAGACCTGTGTGTCCATGGCAGGAAGCATTATTCTCGATCCCAGTCAGCTGTCATGCACATGTGTGAGGCTGAGTAGATGAGACCACCAAGTCATCATTCAGGGGCCAGGATGCATATTTTACAACTCATCAAGCTTCTCATTTACGACACATCTACTTGGTTGATAAAGTATTTGCCAAATAAGGTAACCAACTAACCCAGTGTGCCTGGGATTGAGAAGTTTCCAGGGACCCAAGACTTTCCTTGCAAAATTGTGACAATTGAAGGCAAACCAGGGCAATCTGTCACCATAATTACCTCAGAATCACAGAGATCTGGATTCAAATCCACTTTTGCCACACATTTTGGTGAAGCTGGATAAAATGAAAGTTTATTACTTAGAATCTTCACCTATTGAATCGGAATAAAAACAGTTGTTGCATAGGGTTTTTTTTAATACTTCCTAGGAAGTTGCCTACTTCAGGCTTGTCACAAAGAAAACTAGGTAAACATGAACTTTTTCCCCCACCTTCGTTTTCAACACTCTTATAGACAAAAGAAGCACTGCTCTCCTTATTTTACTAAGCAACCTTAGACACTAATACTTCAGTTCACTTACCCAGGGCAATAGAACAGTACATAATAAAATCGGGGCTTAAGCCCTGTCTTCTGATGCTAAATGCAATGCTTTGTAAACTATAGTTAACTAAATTCAAGTGTTAAGGAAAATTTCTGTGAAAGTGGCCATTCGTGGGAAATGTAACACTTTCATAGTACTTAAATATTAGTACTTTTTCAATATTTTTAAAAAAATTATTATGATGTATATAATGTCTTTAGAAAAAGGTGCTGTCATTATGATAATCCATGAAAGTTTAAACTCTAGCCTACTTATCCTCTTTTATGCTCATTAAATTTGAGATATACACAGAACTTCTTTTCATTCGGCCCTTTTTTTGGTGTTAGAATACTGTTTTCTGGGTATCAGAGATTACAGTAATGTATTATTGACTGGTTTGAGTGATGACTATTGGACATAACAAACATGTTTAAAATGTATATTTTATTTTATTTTATTTAAAAAAAACTAAGTCTTAATAAACATACATTCATACATTTAAAGTGAAGTAAAAAGCACATTTGGAAAATGGGCCACAAAAACGATTTCACAGATTTATTCTTAATGTGTGGCTATGATGTGATTGTGATATAGCACTGCAAAGCATAATGGTCCCCCACTGAAATATAAATTTCCAACTCAACTGAAGGATTTCACAGAACATAAACACAGGGGCAGAGATGCAGCATTTGTTTTCAAAGAAGAAGATAGTTACATTGCCATCATGCTGCTTTCAAATTAATTTACATCTAGTTTAATGAATGGTAGAATAAAACTGAAATATTTAACTATCCAATCAAAAATGTGAACATATTTGTTTAGAAAAATAAATGAGCCATACATGCAGAACATAAACAAAAAAAGAACTCTGAATACAGAAGCTGTTGATTTTCTCTCAGCTCAGAATTGTGTTTCTATGATTGTGACTTTTAATTTAAAATGGTAATAGGCTTAAGACTTGATTCGTTTTGAGCATTTGAAAAAGGTTGAAAGGATTTTTACTCTTAATGTGCGTGTACTCTGAATCATAATTATAATATGCTGCATGGATCTAAATGCTTTCAGTTCATTCAAGCTCATCATATTTTCTTAATGTAGTTAACCAACATTTGTAGACCTCAAACACATTTAGTAGATGGCTTTATAGCTTTCCCCTAGTAATGTGAGAAAGCTAAGTCAAAAATTTTGGCTTTTAGCTATTAACATAATTTCCATACAAACTGTAATATTTTAAAATATTCAACTTATTCAATTTAGGTTACATTTCTTTTTCAGAGACCTAGACAATATTGTAAGAATTATTTTGGCAATAAACTTATTACTATATAAAAAACAAATAAATCAATGGGTTTTTTTCCTTTAGAATAGAAAGAAGCATACAAGGAAGCAGATGTATCTTGATGTGATATTTCTTATGTGCTTCAAGAAGTCTTTTCTTAAGTAGATGTCCTGTATTGTCATATCAGGAGAAAAACAGAGTATGGGGAGCTTAGTGGTTTTACTGTTAGGTGGCTTGTCTTTTTTCCATGGCAAGGATGATAAGGTTTTCAGCAGGAATTTAGAGAAAGAGAAGTTTGTGGAGGTCTGGGTATTTGGAGAAGACAAAGACGAAATTACCATTTTTGTAGAGTGGAAGACCTGAAATATTAAGGAACTGAGAAGGATTATTTGGTAATGCTGAGTACTTGTTTTGGATTTGTGGTCAAGAATTTAGCATGTGGCAAAGTCAATGTGGTACAGTATTACATTTTTTCTCCCATGCCTCATCATACTTTTTATACCTACAGATTGAAAAATAATGGGAAAAAATTCACTAAAATTTTAATGTCGAACTGTAATTAATCATTAACAATGACAGCACCCATCATTTGACAAATGGCAGTATATATACATGCACATATTACTGCTTATCCAGACACCGACAATGCCTGATACATGTGGTATTAATCTGCTTGGCCCCAGAACCTGTAATAATTCTGCTGTCCCACTGGGATCTGAATACTATAAGTTTGGAACCAATGTTATCATAGACTGTTGAAGCATGGAGGCATGGGGCATAGAAATTATGATGTTTTGTTGTTCCTCTACTTGATTTCCAGAATCGCCTAGGGGAGCCTAAATAGACACCCTAAGACCATTGCAGATCTATGTGAGCATGACCAGGGTTGAATTAAAGACTAAGAATCCTCAAATTCATCCATATTCCTTCTGCATTGACAAATGAATTTCTCATTAGACCGTAAAAAATATTAATTGTTCATTTAATAGTTTTGTATATCACTATCACAGGCTATAAAGTGAGGCTGTAACAAGAAGCAGGTTAGAAAGAAAAGAAAGAAAAAGAAACATTGACACAGTTATTATGTGAAAAGGTCTCACCTGAAATAGCTGAGACATTAACGTAATAGAAAATGTTTAGAGTCAAGACCACATTTCATATTCCCTATGTTCTGTAATGCTTCTCTTCAGTTCTTCGGTTTCTAGATGGAGAAATTGTGTTTAAATTCTTGGACTTTTATGTGGTATTATGTGATGTGCAACTGTGGCCTTGATTGCCAGTGTGCAGTGAGTGTCTGAATTTTCTCCTATTCTTATGAAATGTGTGTGATTCTTTGCAGTATACTTCTGCTCTCACCTATGATGCCGTTCAAGTGATGACCGAGGCCTTCCGCAACCTACGGAAGCAGAGAATTGAAATCTCTCGAAGGGGGAATGCAGGAGACTGTCTGGCAAACCCAGCAGTGCCCTGGGGACAAGGTGTAGAAATAGAACGGGCCCTCAAACAGGTCAGTCACTCAAAATAATTGTTAAGATTATTAATATCTTAAATCATATCATGACTTCATATGGCCATTAATGTTTTCTTCCTGCTGAATTAGTCATCCTTGTCTTATTCCTTATGTTTAATATACAGGCAATGTTCTTTTCTAACAACACAAAGGTAGGTTGAAGAGAAAAATAAACCTTATCAATGTTATTTTCTTCACTTCAGCTGGTAAAAGTAATCTGTACAGTGTGTATGTTTTGTTGAAGTAAATTTACAACTCTGCTCCTTTCCCATTTCCTCATTAGGTTCAGGTTGAAGGTCTCTCAGGAAATATAAAGTTTGACCAGAATGGAAAAAGAATAAACTATACAATTAACATCATGGAGCTCAAAACTAATGGGCCCAGGAAGGTAAATCCTTAGTGATTTAAAGCAGTTCTATGTGAGGAGGTGAGTTAGCTAGCCTATGATCTCACCTTTCCAGAGAGTTCTGGAGTTGTGTATTTATATAGAGTTTAACGACTTCCAGAAACAGATATATTTTGAAGTTTTTTTCTTTTTTTTTCCCCCTAAAGTCTGTTTATTTCTGGTAAGTAACATTAAATTACAATTTTAGAGATAATTGTAAGTAGAGCTGTTGAACTTTAATTTTTTAGACTGAAGCAGAAGTCTTTAGTGAAAAGAGAAAGAATCATTGTTGAAAGTTTACGGTTCAGAAGACAGAAAGTAGCTGGTGCAAATATGTATGTAACTGTTCAATTCAACATCAACCTTTTAACTGTTTAGGCTCAAATGCCATCATTTGGATTTTATTTGCATTTCTATATGATCACTCCCAAACAATTACTCAGAGAGAATATGAAAAGTGAACATGAAGAAACAAGTAATTTTTAAGATTTTTTAATAGTTCCTTTCATTCCTGTTAGATTCACATACATACAATACATTTCTGTTTATAAGAAGCCCAGTTAATGTGGGTCCAATTTCAGGTTCAGACGTGGCTTTGAAAATAATTACATGCTTTGCTAATAGACAAGTTATTTATCCATATGTCTGTCTGCTGTAACCTTTTCCAGATTGGCTACTGGAGTGAAGTGGACAAAATGGTTGTTACTCTTACTGAGCTCCCTTCTGGAAATGACACTTCTGGGCTTGAGAATAAGACTGTTGTTGTCACCACAATTTTGGTAATTTCCTACATATGCTTATGCTTACTTTGTATTTCCTTATGGATAATATCTGCAGGAGTAGCTATTTACAATTTAGGAAAATAGTATCTGTTTTGCTTCTTTTGCAATGTTTTATCATTTATTGCATATTTACTCTGTTAAAAGGAATACACAAGATCTAGCTAAAGCATTCAAAATGTTTCCTGTTTCTTTAAGGAAGAAGCCCAGTTAATGTGGGTCTAATTTCAGATTCAGACGTGGCTTTGAAAACAATCAAATGCTTTGCTAATAGATGAGTTACAGCTTAACTAAATAGATAATTCATACCTCCCTGGTGCTTACATCGGTGAATAATTGGGAAATGTCTTGAAGAATGTTCCTCATATTTCTGCAAGTTCTTCACCTTTCCATTCCCACCCAATGCTGTGTAAATTCTCTTTCCATTTGTTACATGATTTTATGATGATGTCAAGTTGTCTTTATTCTATCTAATGAAAGATGTTCTTCTTAAAGACAAGGATGATTTCCCTTCTTTTTACTCCAAGTTTCAGCACTCGTTGTCACATAGCTAGTACACAATCAATGCATATTGAATGAATAAGGAAAAATTGAACTGGATCTTCAACACCCAGGCTTTGGATAGATGGAAGAGAGATGTGGATCACCATGACAAGCTGTTGGTGAAATGAAATGGAGAAAATGGTGTTCATTATAGGACAGGATTTTGTGACAAAACTATTTTGTTTTCATTTTTACAAAAAAAAAAAAAAAAGCCTTAGCAGTGAAGTTGTAAATTGGTGTGATTTATTCTCCTAATATTGAGAAGCAAATATTGAGATATTGATAAGGGATTTGAATTAAAATATTGGTAGGCAATTGAACATTCTTAATAAGTGCAAATTAGACATTTGAGAATTTTTGCATTTATCATGCTATAGAGATGAACTATCTCATTGAGACCCCAAATATCCTTGGTGCCACTTTCCAATGGAGAATATTGGACTGTGTTGATTCATTTTTTCTTGCTTCATTTTTTCTTATGTTTACAGGGGGAAGCTACTCTCTAGCTATCCTTGTAGCATCATTCTAGGATATTGTATCTCACAGATGAAGTGAGACCTGAAGCCTGCGGGGGTAGAATCAGTAAATCATCATGACAATGATCCTTTCAGTCTGTGTATCACTGGCCATGAACCTGATTTCCACATGAATCTTATCTTTGGGACAGCAGTGACACAGGGTTTTGGGTGAATACTGGTTTTGGGATTGGCATAACCTTAATGAAGGATAAGGGTGTGGTGAATCCAAACTTGAATAAAATAGGTGTTGAGCAGTAATATTTTGTTCTACATCCTAGTAATTACAAACATGGCTAGAGATCATACAAACAGTTTATGATTTTGAATACTTTGTTCACTCTGGTATGGTTAGGTACAAGCCATCTTAATGAAATATAATGATAGGCATTCAAAGACTTTCGGGGGGAAGCATTATGCTTAAATTATTCCTCTGCTGTTGTTTGTTCACCATCTACATTCTTCATTGACTCTGGCTAACAGGTAATCATTAAACCAGAAGATTTGATTCAATGAGAGTACATAATTAACACAGATATTTTGATCAGCTAAAGCAAAGTCTTTTCATATAGGAATCTCCATATGTTATGATGAAGAAAAATCATGAAATGCTCGAAGGCAATGAGCGCTATGAGGGCTACTGTGTTGACCTGGCTGCAGAAATTGCCAAACATTGTGGATTCAAGTACAAGTTGACAATTGTTGGTGATGGCAAGTATGGGGCCAGGGATGCAGACACGAAAATTTGGAATGGGATGGTTGGAGAACTTGTATATGGGGTAAGTATAGCTCTTCTATAGATAAAGTCATTCAATTTGAATTGTTGTTGACAGACTGCTTCCTCTCCCTGTGAAGTACCTATGTGTGAGGTTGTTGATTTCCCACATTACTCTAGAAACACTATGTTGTTGATTTGTGAACATCTGAAAGATTGAAGTTGAAGCCAGAAGTAGACATGCAGATTAACTGAGATAGACATTTCATCTCTCCTGGAGCATATGGGCCATATGTATTGTCAAAAGGCTATGAATGCATAGATGCAGTGCACCTGTGTAATGATCATAGTCAACCCAGATGGATATATTTTGTATTCATAAGAGGAAGAGCGGTATTGGGGGAATAATTCCTTTTTGTTTTTTCTTTACTGGGACTATACCAGGGAAATAATTATTGATATTTCTCTGATTTCCTCTCCTTTTTCTTTGATCCAGTGATATAACCATGATTCCCTTTTCACCATGACTTCAGGTACTATTATTTTACTTTTTTTCCTTACAGAAAGCTGATATTGCAATTGCTCCATTAACTATTACCCTTGTGAGAGAAGAGGTGATTGACTTCTCAAAGCCCTTCATGAGCCTCGGGATATCTATCATGATCAAGAAGCCTCAGAAGTCCAAACCAGGAGTGTTTTCCTTTCTTGATCCTTTAGCCTATGAGATCTGGATGTGCATTGTTTTTGCCTACATTGGGGTCAGTGTAGTTTTATTCCTGGTCAGCAGATTTAGCCCCTACGAGTGGCACACTGAGGAGTTTGAAGATGGAAGAGAAACACAAAGTAGTGAATCAACTAATGAATTTGGGATTTTTAATAGTCTCTGGTTTTCCTTGGGTGCCTTTATGCAGCAAGGATGCGATATTTCGCCAAGGTTGGTTACTCACCTGCTTCAACTTTGTGCATTTTAGGTCTCAAGTAGACATTCATGGTGTTTATGAATTCACTCTAAAGAAGTTACCAGCTGCCGAATTCCTGTCCAAGCAGTTCAAGACTCCTGAAGGACATCCTCTTGCCTTCGGCATAAGTCTGCGAAATATTTGAACAATGTTCTTTGAATATTGCTCACTTATTTCCCTGGTGAAATTATACACACCGTGGAGAGGCTATAAAATGCATAAGGTTCCTATCATTCCATGCCTTCTTGGAGGGGTACCGTGTTTTTGCTGCATATTCTCATTTTACAGTCATCTGTGTGTTAATCCACAGACCTGTATATGGGAAAATGGGCAACATTATTTATAAATAACACCTTGTTAGATAAAACTTCATTGGCACACATCCCATCTCTTTTATTTTATCATCATTAGCTCATGGAAATGGTATGAGAGAGATATTATAATTTTTTTTTCAAGGTGAGGTTGCTGGATTAATATAATAGCATATTTTTAACTGCCCACGAATTCCTGTAGGGGACTAATCATTCATTACAAAAAGCTGTCCATATTAAACGGTAATACACACACATCATGGAATAAACTCACATACCTTTAATCTCATTATGCTACGTTAAATCCCTGCACTAGAATACCTAATTATAATGGATCTGCCACAAAGTGCCTATGGATTTTGTTCATGTTGCACACGTGAATAAGAATGATAGCCATGTTTGGCTCTTCAGAGCAATAAATCATACTTTTTCTCGTGTGATTAACATTTAAAGTCAAAATGATTATCAGTCTACTGGCACATTTTAATTTGGGCTCTATTACCCTTCTTTAATTTTACTGGCTATCTTAATAACTAGTGAAGCAGGTGCCTTTAGCGCTAGTGATACAATTTCATTGTATCGTGAGTTTTTAAAATCACTTTGAGAATAACAAGTGATTAATTTAAGAAAACTATATGAGAAGCTCAAAGATTTGCATGTTTTGCAATCTTTTTAGTATATTTCACCCAGTGAGATAAAGGAACATCATGTAGGCAGAAATTATCAGTGATTTACTTCTCTGATAGTAGGTAATTATAGTAGGAATGATAAAAAAATTACATTTTTATGAATTATACAGATTTTAAAAATCTCAGTTCCACCAGATTCCCTGTGGCTTCTCTATGGTACTGCAGTGTATTAGCAGTATGCCATTGGTCTTTGCACAGCATGGCACATATGTATATATGTATATATATATACATACATATTTTTACCTCTGACAAAATATATAAGCTTCATAATTTTATCACCTCTGTATTTCATTTATTTGATCCAAGTTAAAGATATATAGACCAGTTTCTAATAATTAGGAGGAAAATACTAACCAAATTGTGGTCTCAGAGAACATTCTGGCCCATAAAATGGTAAAGAAGTGGTTCACCCTTTGATAAGGACAATGAACTATGTTACCCTAGTTCTGAAATGTAAGACAATAGTATGCTGGGGTCACATAAACTGTGCTCTGCCTTTTGGATAGTCGGGAGCAGTGTATGTGGGTTCATTATGAAGTAGGTCTGGCCCGAGTTCCCATTAGAGGCCTGCTCCTAGACGTGATGGCACTGCACGTAGTTGTATAGCTACCTAGTGTTTGTCAAAGAGTGGGAAACCTATTTGCATCTAGGGGCTACAGCACAAGGCTTATCAGCCATCTGTATTATCCCAGGGTCCATCATGACATATAGATGACTTCTCCTTTTTATGGAGGCTGCATCTAAATTAAGATATTTTTTCTATCCTTTTGATTTCATTCATGAGTCATGACACTACAATTTCACATGTAGTAATTTTTAATTCCTGGTAGGATAAACAGATTTTAGATAGCATATTTTTCTTTGGTATTGATTGATATTTTTTCCCTCAGAATGTATTTGATAAAAATTCATTTTGCCAAAACATTTGAGGTACACGTCTTTCACTTTATGCTATATATGCATTTTAAAATTCAACATAATACATTGAGAAAGTTAATGATTTTTAATGAACAAAACTATCATTTTTTTAAATAATGCAATGATGGTTATACTAATTGAGAAAAATACAGCAGCTTATTATCATTTTTAAAAAGATGACATGCACAGATCACTTTAGAAATGTCTTTAAATATTTTAAAAATATTTATAATTCCTTTCCAAGTAAAATATGACATGGAACTATATTATTAATGTTAACAAAACACATTTAAGTCTTAATCTAGAGTGATTTATTAAATTAACTGCTTTTTCATTTGTCTGAAATTAAGTTTAGAACATTTTAACTGTAAGACATGGTTTCATGAAGAATAGACTCACAGAAATTATGAGAGCAATATGCTGTAAAGGTTATTTTTATTGTCTTCTTTGCTTCAGGATTGTCCCCAATGACCCTAAAGGAATCAAATGAATATAAAAATGTGTATCATTTTAAAGAGCATATGCACATTTTTTTACTCCTTTAGTGCTGATACTAATGGGCAAAAGTTTTACTTTTAGTTGTAGTTTTTGTCTGTCAACGTAAAATAATATTGAATTTCCTTCTCTGCATAATTTCTCAGGAACTCTTTGAGGGAATGAATTGATACTTAAAAAATATTTAGAAGTAAATAACAATAGTCGTAGTATTTTTCACCTTTGAATGATTTATAAGTTCAATTATTTTTATAGATCTCATGCACATTTTAAATCAGTTGACATATTAAATGTTCTTAAATCTGACATAAGGACTGATATAGAGGATATCTTATGTCTAACTTTTTTTACACCTGTAACAACGATTCTTAAACATATCATAAATTAATATGCAATATGTAGTTTCAAAAGCTGCGTACCATGGTATCAGCTTTTGTTGTAAGGGATTTGAGCAATCAAGTACTAAGTCTGCCCTCTTAAATAGAGGATATGTGCCGTATAACAGCACTTCCCACTGATATTGGATAAATAGTGAACACTTTGAGAGCTGTTGTGTCTATATAAGGCATTTTTCAAATGTAAAATATATTTAATATTCTTTTCAGAATATATGTGGGAAGTGTTTAACTTTTTCCATCCTATCATATTTATTTAATTTTTGTATTTCCTACAGACTTTGTGATAAAGATGCTTAATTATATTCTTTTTGTTTTTCTTTGCTGTTCATCTCTCTCTTTCTCCTTTATTTTAGCAACTGATGTTTTTATCTGAAAAAACTTTCCATTTAAGTTAGCTTCTCTTCTTTCTTAACTGTTTGAGTGGTTCATTCTCCAAATATTTCCCAAATGTTTGATCTAGTATATATTTCACCAAAAGATATATTTCTTACTGTTAATTATCAGAAACTTTAGGTCATAAATTGCCAATCATGATTTAAATTTTTAGAAATATCACTTATTTATACCAGTAAGTCTAATTGTTACACATAGCAGAGTTATCGACAACAAAGAAATGGTTATTTTTATTGGTTTGTCAATATTACTCAAATTCTTAGTTATGTGCAGAATCTCATCAAATCTTTCAAAATAATACAGTATATATATTTTTCTGTATAACTGCATTTCTCTACTTCAGACTTTTAAGTAAATTATTGGGAATTTATTAAGCTTTTGCAAACTATTTTATGTAAGAATTGGTACTCAGAAAAATATCGTTATTTTATTATACACCAAACCAGAAGTTTATATCTTCACAAACTTTTAAATGTCTAATTTGTTTTCTTTGAGTTTTTTTTTTTTTTTTTTGAGCAGGACACATTGAGGAGCAGGGTCATAGCCATCCATACCCTGAAGCCATCTGATTTTTATTCATTAATAATTATAGTTTGTGTGGTATCCTTGCTTGTATTCTTTCTTCCTCATTTTTCTCTCTTGTACTGTATCTAACATCCATGTTTTACATACACAAAAATTAACAAAATTTTCAGCCTTTTTTGCTTTGGAAATTCACCAGCTGAATTAAAGGGAGGGTTTCTTTGGCGTTTAAAGTTATATCTGCGGAGTATGCTTTTAAAAAATTTTTGATTTTGTTCATAAACATTGTTCTGAGTTTTGCTGATGATATTAGATTCTCTTGTTTATGTTTACTTATGTCATGACAGGACAAATTTTTATGAGTATTTGTAAATTTCTTGAAACTACGTTCTTATGGGATTCATATCATAAACTATTTGGGCATTACAATTATGAAAGAATTCCAGAAATCAGAAGTTTTGATCTGTGTGTATGTTATTAAATTTAACTAATCTGTACTCCTTGCCCAAAATGTTTAATGATCTCCAGTGTCATTAACTGGCAGATATATTGAGAACTGTAAAATTAAATATTTTCTCATAAGTCAATATTTGCATAATGCTGTTAACTTGTGTTTTTATTAGGCCATTCATTTCACTTTACAAATCCATTTCATACTTGTTATTAGATCCCTCTCTGGGCGCATTGTTGGAGGTGTGTGGTGGTTCTTTACCCTGATCATAATCTCCTCCTACACGGCTAACTTAGCTGCCTTCCTGACTGTAGAGAGGATGGTGTCTCCCATCGAAAGTGCTGAGGATCTTTCTAAGCAAACAGAAATTGCTTATGGAACATTAGACTCTGGCTCCACTAAAGAGTTTTTCAGGGTAAGAGATTCTGTTTTGTAGTTTCTGATTTTGTTCCTGAAATTTAACCTATTTAGACTTTGCTTCCCCTCCTGTTGTCAATACCAAGGTACTATGTGAAAGTGACCTCTATCTCTGTCTCTAATTTTATCTCTGCTCTTGACCTTGTCTCTGTCTCTGACCCTTTCCTATCCGGATACTTAGGTCTAGCTCTAGTTTCTGACTCGTAACTCCTTAGGAGAAAATCCACAATGTTGCAATGAATCTGTTGTACAAAAATTGAGTGTCCTTTTGGAACGAAATTGAAGCAAAATATAGTTAAGATTAGATTATTATGTTTTCAACAAAACACCTTATTTTTGTTGGATTTTAAATAAATGTGACTACATGTATCTTACCTAGTTTATAATTGAAAAACTCACATTCAAACCAGTTATGTTAATTATGCATAAGGAAACAGATTAGGTTCGTATGTGATGATACTGCATGTTATGTGCAAAGCTTCCAAGGAAAAGCTATCAAAAGCCCTCCACTTCCTAATTTTTTAAATATGTAGCATATTTATATTGTGTCTATTAGATGTGGGTTACTTTTTTCTTTTAACTTTTGTTCTTATGTTCTTGGTCTATAGTATAAGCCCAAGGGCTTGATGTTGGCATAATTTTCTTTCTTTCTACTATTGTGTATGTAAGAAAACTCTATGAAAATGTTTAAATCCAGCTGATTAACTTAGGTCTAAAGTCAATATATGTGACATATAATGACCTCTGATAATCTACAAATAAATTTGAATATATCTGAGTTTGAGTGAGATCTAATCAAACTTATTCCTGAATTAGGATTGGGGCCTTCAATTTGCCAAATGTTAAAATACTGATGGCCCTTTGGCCATCTCATGCTACATTACCTCTGGTCTCTTTTCTGAATAACTTTAGTTCAGCTGAAGATACTCGGGGAAAAAGGATTCTGGGAGTGGGGATGGTAGAACCACAGCTAATAACAGATTTAACTTGGGTGTATGTGGAGAGTACAGGACCTTGATGAATTAATTAGATACCTAAATTTAAGTGCAAAAATGTGGACTATCAGTAGCTTTTTTTTTACTGTCAGGCAGATTTTAGTAAGAATCTTATAATGCAGATTTGCTACTAATGACAATGTATTATCATTTCTAAACATATATGCAATATGTGTAAGAATACTCAGTATAACAATGCTCTAGCTTTATAACAATGGATTTATTAAAATAAATTAAAATGCTGTATGTTCCTCAATTAGAAGTACATTTGAAAGCATTTTTAATATTTGTATGCATGTGGCTTTCTTGTTCTTATTTGAAAAAATAAGGTGCTCCCTCCTGAAGTAAATGAGATCTATGAGAATGATGTAGAAGCCTGTTATAACATAGTTGACTTGGTGCTACTTAGGTTGATTAAAATAATCTTAATTATTTTCAAATACTCTCTTCCAGTTGAGAATGCATCTATGGAGAGTTTCAGTTATTACCTTGTTTGGACAATAGCAGTGACAATTATTTTCTGCTACTACGCATTCACATTCACAAAGCTTTTCTGCATATCTTCACTGAATCAATCATATAAACACATGTTGGTGATGCCAGAATTATATGGCCAGTGTATTCACAATCCCTAGTAGACAAGATAAGAAAGCTAGATGGGTTCAGGAAAAGAACATTGCTACTCTTTTGTTTCACTGCACTAACCTCATGGAGCCCATTTGTTCCAATATGCAATTGTGGAGGTTTTATCAGGTTGTAAGGCTTTTCTTCCCTAGAGTAATAAAGAAGTGATGATGGATATTTAGGCAATTCATAAGTATAGCTCCCCAAAGAAGTTTCTTGTGCTTACCTCTTTGAATCTCACAATATCTGTCTGATAGTCAGGGCAATGATTTTTATTTGATATCTGTGTATTAAATAGAAGCTCAGATAATTTTGGGTATTTGATCAAATTCATTCAACTAATAAGTATGCTGAAGTCTTTTCCTCCTAGCCAGGGTTCTTTACCTATGCTATTTTTCCTTGTGCATCAGAGTCTCTGGATTTATTTCACTGTCTTCATGTTCTGTTATTCATTACATCTACACTTACCGATGTAATGCTAGAGCATCAGACATGGTCGAAACCTAAGCAAGTCCTCACAGTTCCTCTCAAACTGTCTCCAAAAGGAACTGTTGATGAAATGCCATTGGCTAGGTCTCAGTGCGTATAATGTTGTAGTCAGCTTCTCCTTATCTAGAGAAAGAAGATTGTGGGCTCAAAATTATTTAAAATCACAGTATTCTTTTTGTACCAAAAAAAAAAAAAAGAGAAACCAACAAAACAGCACACTTCACCAAAGAGAATAGGAACTTGATATGTTAATTCTTTCACTGAAATATATGAAATGGTTGCGATTTGGGAAATGATGTATACAAAAGTTTTGTTTCTTCAAGTTGGATTAAATAAAATTATTGCTAGTTCATAAGTAGTTTTGAGCAGTTTTGCTAACAGTATTATAATAATATTTGATAATTGGATGCCATGATGGTAATAGCGAGGAAAATCTTATTTTTGCTTCCGATCCTCAAAATGTTTTCTGGGATACTATGGCTTTCCAACTGTATCCAGCAAGTCTCATCCCTTTCACCTAGAGTTTACTGAATTACTGAAGGGAAATTGCATAACAGATTCCCTTTGAGTCAATAATTTTTTCATAGAATGTTATGTAAAATGTATTAAACAAGATGAAGCTAATTTAGAGACATTTTAAAGACAAAAATATTTGATTTTCATTAATATTGTTCCCTTATATCATAGGGTAAACTGCAGTTTGTCTATTGGCTGTAGTGTGGTTGAATTACTGAGTTTTTGTGGAAAAATGTGACAAAGGGAATTCTTGTTTCTATCCTCAAAATTAACATTCACCGCAGGTTTTGGGTTCATCTTCTCTCAACTTCCCTTTGGAATTTTGGGGCTTCTGTGTAAGTCAGATACAGAGCAGGGTGAAGGCTGGCAGACTGATTTCCATGGTCCAGCCTACCAGGAACGGGATATGGATGAAGTGGGCTGAAGCCAGACTAAAAACATGTATTGCTTACTTTGCTCTCTGCCCATTCATTCTGCCTACTTTTGGAGCCAAGACCCAGTAAAATAGCTGATTAAATGTGCAATAATACACTTTTGCTATTTGCTAAGCTTTCAAGTTCTAGCATTTATCTTCATGTTTTGTAATGTGGCTTAATTTGGCTTTAATGATAGCTTTTTTAAATGCTCTTTTACAACTAGGAGTTTTATTAGGTATATTATTGTTAAATTCTCTGTTACCACTGAGTTTATCAAGTCAACTGTTGGCTTTCATCATAGGCAGAGCTTTGTATTTAGCATTGCAGAAATTGATTTGAGAAGTGAGGTCATTGTCTAAATTTCAAATAATAACTAACTGAAAGATAAAAAATAAGTTGAGGCCATTTAAAAATTAATGGTCAGTTCTAAAATAGAATTCAGAATTTCAAACTCCTAGTCTTTTGTTTCAATATTGTTTAATTAAAGTATATTCTTCTTGAGATAAAAGCACTTCATATAAATTTATAAGATGAATATTTTATTTAATAGTCAGAGATCTGTTCTGTACTAAGATGATGTTTGTTCTTCCATTAATGTCTAAGATATTTTCAGATTCAGATAAATAGTGGTAAACCAGATTACATTAATGTTACTTTAGTAAAGTCAGTGAGTATGTAATTGTTGTAGAAGTTCAATTTAAACTGCAAATTTTCTAATTTAAAATCTATACTTTCCTTCAGTGATGATCATTAAATGAAACATTCATGATATATTTACTTTGTTTTGCTTGAAAGAGAGAGTAAATGGAGAACAATCTTGTAACCACCAAGAGATGTGAAGAAAATGAGTCTACATCTCCATTTTTTGCAGTTTTCTGTTTGTGGGACCTATGCATATCCTTGTACAGAGGGAATGATAAAGTCTGATTCATTTTGGAATTACTGATCATCCCTAATTATAGTGCCACTGTAGCATACCTATAATTAAGAGAGAATTAGCCTTTCAATTATAAGCCACTATTTTTAGAGCTTCACATTTTAATAATTTCTTATCTCAATAAAATAGGACAGATCTTAAATTAGATGACTTTGTGTGGAAAATGATTTTATAGGGCCTATATGCAGTATGTTCCTACAGAAAATTTGATTTTTAAGGACAAGAAATGGTTTTCTTATCTAAACCTCTCATTGGCTTGTCAGACCACGAAGCACAAGTATTAACTTGCCTATAGGAAGTCACTCTTCATGCCTGTGCTGTCTCCACACTGCAATCTGTTCCCTCTGGTTCTCTCTTCTGGGAGGATGAGGGACACAATTTATCCTCTAAATATGTTGTCTATTTTGATGATAATGTTAGAAGAAAAAGATTCTAAGCTTTGCCAAAATACGGGCATTTGCCTTCTTATTTAAAGAAGTTTATTCCATCTGCAAAAGATAAATTTAGTCTGATAATAAACCGTAAGACTCTACTGTTATCACCCAGCATTGTAGACTTTTTACAGAGGTAAGAAATAGTATAAATGATAGATAACTTGTATTAATGCAGCTGATACTTACCAGTGAAATAATTAGTATGAAATTTTCCATATGTATCCATGGCCCTTCTATATAATCAATATTACAAGATAATTAAAATAATTGAGAGTGTCCTTTTAAAGATGGTAACCTTTTTCAACACTCTCTATGGCATAAAAGACACTTATTTATATTTACATATGAAAGCATTCCTGAAATATAATTGCAAATAAAAACGTGCTAGCCATTATGACACCTCTTCTATAGAACTATATTAATTGCTATTTCATTAAAGTTCCATTTAAGTCAGTTATTGTTTGTATTTAGTAATAATACAGCATGATTTCTTTATTGCCATGTTATAAAAATGAATTTCACGAATTTGTCATTCCCAATGTTTATTTTATTATTCCTGTTATTGCTAATGATTTATCTGCCACAAT